AAATGACAACAAAGGATTTAGAATATTATATACACTTAGTTGATGAAGCAGCAGCAGGATTTGAGAGGACTGACTCCAATTTTGAAAATTCTACTGTGGGTAAAATGCCATCAAACAGCACTGCATGCTACAGAGAAATCTTTCGTGAAAGGAAGAGTCAATCAATGCATCAAGCTTCATTTTTATCTTATTTTAAGAAATTGCCACAGTCACCACAACCTTCTACATCTATCAGCCTGATCAGTCAGCAGCCATCAACTTCGAGGCAAGACCCTCCACCAGCAAAAAGATCACAACTCACTAAAGGCTCAGATGATCATTAGCATTTTTTTAGCAATAAAGTATTTTCTAAGTAAGGTATGTACATTGTTTTTTTAGACATAATGCAATTGGCCACTTAATAGACTACAGTATAACATAACCATAACTTTTATATGCACAAGGAAACCAAAAAATTTGTAACTTACTTTATTGTGGTGGTCTGGAACTGAACCTACAATATTTCTGAGGTATGCCATGGCTGTGGGTTAAATGTGTCCCCCAAAAGTTCATGTATCAGAAACTTAATCTCCATTGTTAAGAGGGTGGGAAATCCTATTATAATAATGAAAGGTGGAACCTTTAAGAGGTAATTAGAATGTGAGAACTATGTCCTTTGAATTGATTGATTCATTCATGAGTAATGGGCATGGTTCTGATGGCTTTAAAAGGAGAGCAAGTGAGGAGATTAGCTCTTTTGTTCAGCCTATTCTTGCCATGTGATATCCTGGGTCACTGTAGAGAGTCACCACCAAGAACAAGGCCCTCATCAGATGTGTTCCCTGGACCTTGGACTTCCCAGCCTCCAAAACTGTAAGAAATAAATTTCATTTCTTTATAAATCACCCAGTTTCAGGTATTATAAGCGACAGAAATGAACTAATACAGACAGTATATGTATGTTTATACAAGGGTACTTCAAAAAGTTCACGGAAAGATCCATATTATCTTTCAATTCTATTTTTCTGCAAACTTTCTGAAGTACCCTTAAATATGTATGGGGCCATCTTTAGAGAGATAAGCAAGAAACTGGTAAAAGAGGTTAGATCCAAGGAAGGGGAATGAGTGACTGAAATACGGACTCTCCCCAACTTCAACACTCTGATTTTTGTACAATATGGATATATGAACATTACCTGTTTAACAAGAATAAAAATTACAATGTATCTGCACATTTCTCTGAGGATACTGAACATAACTTATAACTTAATCTTTTCTTGATTACTAAGGGCTATTGTAATGAATTATATTAAACAATAAAGCTCTAAGAGTCTATACATAGGGTTTTTTTTTACCCATAATAAATGACCCCAGGCTGCTGTGATTTGAGTGATATTGTCATTTTTAGTTTCCTGTCTTCTCCCAGCTGCTTCTGACTGCTGTCAACATTCCTACCACTAGTTGGCTCAAACTTCTCTCTTAGATTGGGGCATCTAGTTATAGTGGGCTAAGAAACCAGACACATGGTCCAATTACAGTGCTATATAAAATAAAAGGAAATTGCCTCTGTGACAACTTGAAGAATCTTCTCGTAATTGGTGAATTTTAGATTTTATAACAATTACTTGACTACTCAAGATTTTTACTTCCAAATTCCATATAATTGGACAAAGAACAGGCAAAGCATTACTGAAGTCACTATGGTCAGTTCTATTATTTAATTAATGCTACATTGCTAAGTACATATCTGGAGCTTTTTCAAAATTGCTTTTATTCATTCACTCAAAAATACTTTTGAGCATCTAGTATGCACCAGGGAATGTTCTAGGTGCTAGGCATACAGCAATGAACAATACAGACAATGGCCAAACTCCCTTAGAATTTATATTTTAATTGAAGAGAGAGACAACAAAGATACAACAGTACAACAAAGAAAGAAGGGGCTGATGTGATAGAGCAGTGAGGATGGGGGAGCAGGATGGTGTGCTGGTCAGGGGCTGATCAGAAAAGAGCGGGAACCACACACACACACACACACAACACACCCCTTTAATATTTAAAATAAGGGACTTAACTGTAGGGATCATAGGAGGCTGTTTCTTTTGTGTCTGGCAGTTGGAAAGGGAAGATGGGGATGAAATGGGGGAAGCAAGGAAGCTGCTAGGATGAGTAAAACCCACAGGGACTCTCTTAGTCTGTTTTTTGCTGCCATACCAGAATACTTGAGACTGCTAATTTATACTAAACAGAAATTTATTTGGCTCATAGTTCTGGAGGTTAGGAAATTCAAAATCAAGGGGCTGGCAATCTGGCGAGGGCTTTCATGCTGTGTCATAACATGGAAGAAGGCAGCACATGATGAGAGAGGGCGTGCGAGAGAGCAAGAGAAGGTGGAACTTGCTTTTATAATAAACCCACTCTTGCAATAAGGACACTAATACATTCATAGGGGCAGAGCCCTCATGACCTAATCGCCTCTTAAATGTTCCACCTCTCAACATGTTTCCAACACATGATCTTTGAGGGACACATTTAAACCACAGCAGAGACTAAGTGGAATTTGTGAGGGTGGACTGGAACCCATGCCAATCTCTCGCTGCCTTCAATCCTCCAACCTGAATGAGAAGATTGTTTTGCAGAAGCTGGCACCCTCTTTCACAGAGTAAAACACACATCTGGCCCAGGAGTCAGAGAGGCTGAAGGAGGCAATCCAGCAGGAGCTGATGTTCCTGTGGGTCTGGGTGATAGCCCCAGAGGCTAAGACGACGAGCCAACAGGTAAGCAATAACATGGTGAGCTGCAACAGTGCCTTGTGGCTCGCTTGGACCTTCCAATTGTAAAAAGAATCTGAATCTGGCTTCTACTTTACTTTCACCTTCCAAACCTTGTATTAAGCATTTCTTGTGGCCCACCTGTCCTGGAATTATGCAGAGGGGGATTCTGGGGAACATACCTCCAGCTTGACTAAAGTGGCACCATATAAATCCTTTGCACAAAGTCTGAGGTCTTTGAAAAACATTTCAGCTGAGAACCTGAAGGACGTCAACCATGTAACTATGCCATGATTTGGAAGAGAATATCCCAGGCAGAGGAAATGGCTAGTGCCAAGGCTCTAGGATGGTGATATAAGCTAGATATTTTTTGATTTTAAAAAAAAGAGGGCAATGAGGCTGGAGTATGGTGGGAGGGAGAGGTACAAAATATGGTTGGAGAGATAAAAGCAGGGACCAGATCACACGGTACCTTGCAGAACATGGTAATGAATGGGTTTTTTCTAAGTGCAATGGGAGGCAAATAGGGATTTTTTAGCATGGCAGTAGTAGTTTGACTTGATTTAGTTTGACCTGATTTATATATCAGGGTACTTCAAAAGTTCATGGAAAAATAGAATTAAAAGATAATATGAATCTTTCCATGAACTTTTTAAAGGATCATCAAATTTAACTTTATATTTTGAGAATTTAGACTTAGCAAAAAGTTTTAAGAATAGCCCATGAATTCCTGTATGCCCATCATCCAGATGATTTCCTTTTCCAAGAGATTGTTTTGTGGGGAATGGCCACAGTGGGCAGAACGGCTTCTTTCCACACCTCCAGGCCTCATGGCACTCCTACAGCACAGCATGCACAATGCCGTTGGAGCTGTGAAGGCTGCCCATGTGTGGAAGCAGTAATACTACATAACAGCTACAGCGCTTCCACGCTAGTTGTCAGATCTCCTAGAAAAACCGATCTACTTATTTTAGTCTCAATTCACAAGGTCACATTTGTAAGAAAAAATGTTATCATTGGCCTCCGAGTGGCTATTTCTAATGATACTATCAATTCTCAAAAAAAAAAATCACCAACTGAATAAAATCACAAAAACAAAAGCAAGAAACTCAATGATTTGACACCACAAAAGCTATTTAAGAGAATGTTTCAGAAAAAATTCCAGATTTCCAAAGAATTTCCAGAGAACGTACAGTCTGCTGAAGGAAGCATGTTGAAGGGGCTCGTGCTCATGTTGATATATAGGTTCTTGTCTCATTACTTTAGAGCTGATGTTAGACTTGTGTATCTTCTATTTTCATCAGACTTGGCTTACTTTACTTGAAACCATGAAAAATTACCCTAAAGCAAGTTCTTCTGTCTGAATTACTCTCCCTGCTAGCAATTCTTTCTGGTTGAAAGCCAGATTCAAATACTGAAGTGTGCTAGGTTTTACAGATACTCAAGTTCACTTCTGATCTCAGCACAATGCCAGGTTTAATGTTCATATCAAGAGCTAGAATTAACTATGGATAGCCATTTATTCTCACTAAAAATATACACACCTAATATGTGCTCATTAAATCATGAGGGTAAACTAGAAAAACTAAATAGCCAGGTGACTTTAGAGGAATCATTTATTCTCTCTTATACTCAGTTAAACGGGAGCTTGGCTATTGTAGTAGGGCTCAGTGATAACAAGGGGAAAGTGCCTGATGCAGAGTAGGCACTCACATTATCATACATGTCAGTGAAAACAAACACCTTCATATTTTCTTAAGAGAAGAAATGTTTTTGAAAAAAAGAGCTTTGAACAGACTATTTATCCTCTGTAAGAAAAAATGTAAAAATAGACTTTAAAAAGAGCATTATCTGACAGAAGTGGAAAAGTTTATCTTTAATTCAAGTTTGCGATATAAACTTATCTTTCTGTAATCTGTAGTGACGAATCTCCATGTACATTCAGAAAGGGAAAAAGGGGATACTGTGTCATGACTTATGAACTATAAATTCTGTCCCTGATTATTAATCAAGGACAGTTTTATAAATTTATTAATAAATGTTTTCCTTCACTTAACAATGGCCCTTGAATAACAAAATCAATTATCAGCAATTTCAACCATAAATTAAAAAGTAATGTAAAAAAACCTTAAAATTTTATAAATGAAAGCATAGTAATAAACTTCATAGATATTGGTTAGTTACTATGTTCTTTCTGTAAAATAACACAAAGATTATTCCCTTCCCATTGCTGCAAGATCACAAAATTTATGAAAAAGGCTTCACTTTTTTACTGAGCATAATTATCTGCACCTCAGTTAAACACAACAGATAATAACTGGGGTTATTACTCAGACATGGTAAAAGAGAAAGGTTATGACCCCTCAGCAGATCATGTAAACCTAAAACATACCTTAGACTTTCTAGTCTTAACCTGTAGCTCTCATTTATTAAATAATTTATAAAGAAATATTAGAGAGATCATTTAACGAGCAGGCTGAACTCTTACTTTGCCATTTTGCTAGTCACAAACATATATTTTGCTTTTAAATGGAGCAGAATACTATTCACTTCCAATGAGACTAGGTAAAAGGGAAAAACAAAGACATGGACACAGATATTTTTAAGTTACACTACCTTACTTTAACTATTTAATTAAAAAGTTTAATTACCAGATCAGTGCTTAAAAATGTAATAAGTAGACAGATATTTTTTAAATAAGCCAGAGGTAAAAATGAAAAGGCCTAAACAACCTGACAAATAGCAACAGAATAATTTCCATCAGTGACTATAATGGGAATTCTCATTTTAAACAGCTGTTGACAACCATTTAGCAATTCTTTAAACAGGCACTTGATAAGAGTATTTTTTAGCTAACACACTCAATAATGGGGCATCATGCACATGCAAAAGTATGGCTTTATTACAAAGGATTCAAGATGGCAACTACTTAGAATCCAGTGCCAACACGGATTATAACAAATCCAGTGAGTATTTTGTTTTTCAATTATTCATAGAAAATTTAATCCTGATTAAGTATCCTTGGGCAAGAATTCATGGGTAGTTGATGACTGAAACCAACATTTATGTGAAATGCTTCTGTTAATTTAATCTGTGTATATGGCTTAATTATGATTGGGGGTTCAATGTAAGAGAAATGAATTATATCGGGATTAAAACTTTAGTACCATATCACATAGTACCTTTTCCTTTTTTCTTTTTAGACATATAAACCTGCTTTTCCCTTTACCTAAGTGTTCAGATTTTAAAATCCTTTGCCTTACAACCCATGCGATGTGTCTAAATTTTATTTTTCATAAACTATTTGGCAAAAACCCTTCGCTAATCAAGCTAAAACCTGAACTGGAGCCAAAAATGATAGGAAAAATTAGAGAATAATCTCCCACCCACAAATAAACAAAAGCTTATTTACTTAACTGCGAATATATTTTATATTCATTTCCTGAAGTAATTTCGTTTTCAAGTCCTTTAAACTCCAATATGAAATGCATTTTCCTTAAAAAAAGCAGCAGTTTTTAAAATCAGTGCATTACACTGATTTCATAACCAGACTAGTTTAGATATGTATAAACAAGTAATCATTTAACTGATTACTTTTTATAAGACTACCAAACCTGAGTTAGCTATTGATATAAAATGAGGCATTTTAAGTGGTGAATTAAATATCTTACCAAAATATCATATAATTCTTTTTCACATTTATTTCTGTATGGTAATTGCTTCAATCACCTTATAACAACACTCTTTCTTGAAAGTTTATTGTTTAAGTATATTTCAAAACATTCCATTTATTACCTTTTCTCAGTTTTGGTACTGCTTAAATGCAGTTATATAAATAACACACTCTGCTTTCACTGTTCAATTTTTCATATCAAACGTATGAAAAAGAAAGTCACTATATTTGGATCGTTATTGCACTTTTAACCAATTCACTTTTCCTTTCAACAAAAATCAAGCATCAAAAATGAAGTCGACTTTTGTGTCCAGATGATATGGTCAGTGGTAGCGTTACTGAGGAAAGTGAAGAAACTTCCCAGTATAGACTGTGGGATAGAAAGAGTCTGTAGAGAATAACCATGGAAACAGACTGGCAAAGGATAACACCTATTGTAATAACCTGAAAAGAAAAGAAAGGAAATGCTTTTACTGCATGCAGAAACAGAGAAATTATATTCAATTTATCATGAACCTATCTATATATGCTTTTTATATAAATATAGTATTCTATCCTTCATCTTTACCAGGGTATATTTTATCAAATAAATTTTCAACAGGAAAATACAACTAATGTTCAGAACTGTTAATTGCTCAAGGGTTAAATTCCTTTAACAGTTTATAGATGCCAAGGAAACAAAAAATAATTTGCTAAGCCATTCTCTCCTAAGGGTGTGCACATTATAGACAGGAGTTTCAGTAAGAAATAAGAAAAATCAGGTTCCTGGCTAATTGAGTAACAGGAACAAAGCATGCCCCTACCCAAACCTAAAGAGTACTCTAAAAGGCCTTTCAAAAATTCTCAAGTCACTTCTCTAGTTTGGAGACTACCTTCCTATCTATTTACCCTTTGTAAATATCTCAGGCTCAATAAACATTTGTGTGTTCAAGCACATACAGCATTGCTTGTAAAGAAGCTCCTGGCAGAATTCCACTTTGAAATGATGGAGCCATTCATCTAAGAAGGTAGGTATCAACAAAATCAAAATGTAGCATACTTGAGCATGGCACTCCAGTCTGTAGTCTGTTAAAGCAACTAGACTGATTTCTATAAATCTATATCTTGATTTTTACCACTATGTAGGAAAAAACTTAAACATTTTTTCTTAACAAAGATGTGTTATGAATTCTATAATTTAAAAATAAGAATGTACATTCGTATTTGCATGTAGATAAAACAGTGTTCCAAAACAAGCTAAAATAAGTACAACAAATGCTATGTCTATCATTTTGCTTATAAGCTAAATTTTCAAAAAATTATTTTGTTTTAAAGTTCTAATTTATATACTCACTGGTTTAATATTTTGTTTCATAGTTTTATTTTAAAGAACCCAAGAAACATCTGAATGGATAAATAGTCCCCTTCCACTTTAATATTTTCTCAATAAAGAGTATATTTTCATTAAAAAAAAACTATTTTGATTTTGATCATGTATATTACTTACCTTATCTCTTTGATAGTCACTAAATATGATAGAAATGCATGCAAGACCTGGATGACATAAAAACCACAAGATACAGCCCTGAAAAAAATTAATAATAAATCAAGTAAGTATAGTATGTCTTTGTTTTCAAAGTGTCCCAGATAAAAAACGTTACTAGCATATTAGATTCTGATCTCAACTGGCCTTTAAAGTCCAGCTTCCAATAAAATGTAGAAATAAATTTGCTATTTCTATGTCATTAAGATTTTGTTTTTAACCAAGTGAGTATTTTCTGGAGTATTTATAATCTTATACTTGTAAATCTGTTACATACATATACTTGACATACTACAAATATATTAATAAAGGTCAAATGTGTAAAATTTCTTTAAAAAGAAAAAAAGAAGAATGCACATTGATATTTGCATGTAGACAGACAAAGAAATTCTGTAAGAATGTAAAAGAACTGATTAATAGAGATTACTTATTTAAAGGAGGAAAATTGGGCAGGTAAGAATGGGAAATTGTTTACGTTATACTTTCCAAACATCTTTTTCTATTTTTCCTTGAACCATGGCAATGTATTCTCTTTTCCAAAATGAAATTTGAAATAAAAAAATAAGTTAATAATTAGCAGCTGTTGAGATGCTTGGTACACTGAAGATATAGGGGGAAAAACAAGATGTAGAAAAATGTGTTTAATATGTTGCTATTTGTATAAAAATGGAGAAAAATATATATAGGAATATTAAAAATTCTCTAGGGCCGGCCCGGTGGCGCACTGGAGAGTGCGCCGCTTGGGAGTGTGGCGGCGCTCCCGCCGAGGGTTCGGATCCCACATATACAGACCGGTTCCCGCTCACTGGCTGAGCGCGGTGCGGGCGCAACACCGAGGGTTGCGATCCCGTTGCCGGTCCCCGGTACCAGCGCAACACCGAGGGTTGCGATCCCGTTACCGGTCAGTAAAAAAAGACAAAAAGGAAAAAAAAAATCTCTAGAAGTATAAATTAGCAACATATGTAAAAGTGGTGATAACTGAGTAGAGGGGAAAGAGGTAAGAAATAATTTTTACTACTCTTTAAATACTTTTGAATGACTGACCCTATTCAAAAAGTTAAAATTAAAACATATGAAAGTAATTGTTTTTAAGTTCAAGAAAAAAAGGTTGGTCCTGTTTTAAACATAAAACAAAGGAGGAAAACTTAATGCTTAAACACCTTAAATATATACTAACTTAAACACATAATCAAACAAGAAGCACTCCTGTCCCAGTGAAAAGTTCAAAAGCAAAATAGCATTTTCTTGCCTATTTGGTACTCAGAGGCCAGAAACTGGTTCCTAGGGCTGCAACAGCAGTTTTGCAGTGCTCAACTCTAGGAATACGGAAGGCATCTGGCCCTCCTTCCACAGCTGCCTTGGAATGGTCAGACACTCTGTAGACTAGAGTGGGCTGACTGAACAGCCTATCAGAATATTGGTTTGAGTTGCCAAGATGAAGGAATATGGATTTTTTTCAGTCTGACTGAAAAATGGAAACTTCTAGATGAGAATACAGATTGCATTTCTCAGCAGTTATTAATTAAGAACTGTTATTCTCAGAGTTGTACAGTATTTTATAGCAAACTGTGAGGAGCTATCCTTCAGAATAAGCAGACAGAGCCAGGAGGCTGAGTCCATGTTATGTTCCAGCCAACTTCACTCCATCCATATGAGACCATATTCACTCTATTTCTCCTTTCTATGTCCTTATGCTAGTGAGATCTCAAAGTACGTTTGATTTTTCTCAGTACCCATGTAGTAAAAGATCAGGAGAGGGGTCGGAGCAGTAACATTACTGTCATCCCTGACTCTGAATTTATATACTACTGATAAACAATCATTTTTTTACACTTATTCACACATAAGTACTTAATGGTAAAAAATATGACATACCTTTTAAAAAAAAATTTTTGGCACTGGCCAGTACAGGGATTGAACCCCAACCTACCATTAATATAGTGAAAAAATAATGTGTCTACAGTAACTAAGCAGCACAGTAGCATCACCAGAATACCAGTATCAGCTGTTAAACAACAGCAACAACAAACAACTGGAGGCTTTCAGTCTTCTCCTAGGATACTGCATTTTGATTAAAAGATACATTGCTACTGAAGGGAACTGGGAAGGTCTTTTTTTCCCTTGGGGACCATGAATAAACTGTGCATCATGCACCTGCATTTTGACTTCAACTCATCACATGAAGTCAGGTATGGAATTTTCCACTTGTGGCGTCTTGTAGGAACTCAAAAAGTTTCTGATTTTGGAGCGTTTTGCATTTTTGGGTTTGGGATACTCAACCTGTACCTACATCACATAAGTTGTGAAGATTAAATGAGTTGAAGTATACAAAGGACTTATAGTAGTGCCTGGTCCATAATAAGAATTTAATAAATGTTAGCATGTGGTTGTTTACTAACTTCCCAAAGAAACCAGAACAAAGTTGATAATCAGAAGAAGCTATTACTTGGCAAACCCATACTTTGGCAAATGTGATGTAGAACTCCCTTTTGAGTGTACTTCTCTCCATTGTGATAATCTGATAGAGTCCACAGCTTAATGACAATGCTAGGCAAATTCTTAAAACGATCAGAAGGATCCCTGCTAAGTTGTGGTGTGAATGGTAGCTACGATGACTGGTATCTTCAAACTGCTCCCAAAGTAGCAAAATACTCTGCAAAAACAATATTACATTTAGAGGAAAAAAACACATGCCTACTTACAATAAAGCACTTTTTTCAACTCTTTTATAAACATCCCCTTAAATATTATATAAACATTCCTGAGAGTTTCTAAGATTTTTCAGACTATAGAGGTTGTCAATAAATAAGGGCACAGTCTTTTCCTCACTTTAATAACATAAGATAGAGAAAAAGAATTTTTATCAAGACTATACTCAAAATATTTTTTAAAAAATGCTATTGCTATCATGATTCAAATAAGACATCACTAAGGATAAAAATAAACTGAAAAGGTTAACAGAACAAACTTTCTTCTAAGTCCATCTCCTTACTTAAACACATCATTAGAAATCAAACTGTTCTGCACTCATGCTCACTATCTCAGGGTAACTTTTAAATATCTAAGTATGTTTTATAACCCAGAAATCAACAAGTCAGAATTGCTGATTTTAGACTTTACTCTTTTTTCACGGTAACCTCCCTGTTTAAAGAACGAATTTCTTATATTTGCTTTAAGCATGCATGGCACTGCTATTCATCCTTGTTTGTTTGTTGACCTTTCCTCCCATATTGTTAACAGTGAAAAGCTCAGCAAGTTCCTCATTAAACTGTTCTGTTTGTTGCTATTCAGTAGAAATCAGTGTCTATGCTCCCCATCTTTATTAAAAATCAATCACTTAAATTATTACAATGTTTTTGGCATCACACATCTGTAGCCCTCTGCACTTCCATCATTTGTCAACTCAGCCCTCAGAACTGAGTTTTCAGTAACTTCTAAGACTTTTGGAAGAAATCAAAACTCAATATTAAATCCAATTCTTAGGTTTTTATGGGGTTTACCAGCAACCTTTTCCTTTCCTGATTCTCATATCTTCTACATTAATTTTACTTCTGCTACCATTCTTGCTAGGCAAACTCCATTGTCACCCTGCACCTGTGAAATTTCCTTCCTGGGCTCAATATCTGCTCTGTTACTCAAAGTATTGTTCCTTTATTCCACCAAATTATACCCATCTGATTCCTTAATCCATATTTCTAAATTTAACCTTTGCAACATAGAAGTGCTATTATATTATAAAACTATCATTTCCCATGATGTACATTTTTACACACTTAAACTCCCCTATTTTTGTATACATATGCTAATATATGATCTGTATAATATATGTACATATTTACGTACTCTTTGGTTGACTGTCTCATCTGCCTTGTCTGTCTAGATTGATGTTGAAGATCAGGGCTATGTCTAACGTATTCCTCATAAATGCTCACTTAAGCTCTAGTGTAGTGTCATAATCTCAGTTCTCAATCTGTGTTTTTCTATGGTAATAAATTAAAATTACAAAAAAATGGTAATAAAAAATAAATCTTTAAAAGAGCTATTAATTGAAAAATGAGAATTTGACCTGATATTAATACTACTCTCTGTATGTCCTAGATTAAAAACATTAAGTTAGTAGAACCTTGCCCTGATTTTAATCATTTCTAATTCAATTCTTTCTCATCAGCTCTCTTTCCTGGCACTGCCTCCTTTCTAAATATCACCACCTGTGATATGGTCTCTTTCTGAAATCAATCATGTAAACTCCATACTCATACTTCACTCAGAACCTATGTACTAAGTAAATACTAGGAGAACAAAGATAAATAAAGCACTGGCCCCACCCTTCATTAATAAATTTAAAAATTTATTTAATGCATTAAAACTTACATTTATAATGTCCTTTACAGAGCCCTGGTGCATATTTCATTTTCATCTATAGCTACTGCTGGTCACAAACTCAATATAAATTTTTATATTTATACCTTTCTTCTTCTTTTTTTAAGACAAGTTGTTTATTTGGGATCTTTCTTCTTAATTTTCATAAATCCATTGCACATTGGCATATGGATATCCTAGAATACTGTTAATACTACCGCTATAGAGGAGAAGAAAAAAAAGGCATAGAGGACCTTCCTAAAAGACCAGATTTGTTTTTATATTTGTTTTCAAAAACAAGATCCTATCCTTTTTTCTCTCTTTTGCCTTTTAATTAATCTCAGATAATCACTTAAAATTCTTTTACATATAAAGTAGCCAATCCTAAAGATCCTTGCCAATGGATAAATTTCAAATTCACTAAATCTCTCATTCAAGGTTGAGTACTTACCACATGCTAGAAAATATGAAATAAAGCTATCATTGAGTAGGAAATGAGAATCTAACCTAACATTAAGCATACTGCACTTTAGCTGGTAGGAAGCTCAAATTCAGGTAAATCACAATTAAATTCTGCAATCTACATATACTTGCACTAAGATTATTTGATCTATCACTCTTTAAATTCATACCTCAAATGACACAAATTCCTCAGGGATCCCAGGTTTTGATTTTGGAATGAAATATGTTCAAGTCTACATTTCTAAATATTGCTAAGCAGAAACATTGAGCATCAACACTCACCTGCGTTATGACAATGAATACTGCAATGCCAGTGGATGCAGGTGTAGAATCCCACTGGAGAGGTCTGCTTTGAGACTTCTTCATTCTGACAATTGTCCAACCCATGCATAGACTCAGAAGTAGGTATAACATCTGAATTTGGGAAGCAATGTCAAAAACTAATGGAAAATAAAAGCCAAAGTCAACCAAGTTTTTACAATACAAATAACTGGATACTTTTTGCATTGAGATAAGAACACCATTTTTTTGGGCCACAAAAAAGATAGGCATTTTCAAAGAGAAGCTGAGGAAATTCAATCTAAGAGATATACATGTATAATAATTCTGAAGAATTAAAAATGCCATAAAATTTGTAAACATTTATAAAAATAGTTAAAACAATGTCAATACTCCTATTTTAAAATACATATATGACCACATCCTATCTCTATTAAGTCCAACCTTAAATTTCTTGATGTTTCTCGTTTTTCTTAGCTTTTCTAACTACATAATCCTGTTCACTATAATTCACTGCTTACTGAAAGAAATAAATTTTAAATATAATTTGTGCAATGTGGAGAATACTAGTACCTTCATTTCTGTGTTGTTAACTTTTTTTTTTTTGATGGTTGAACTATAATTTGAAGAGTATTTTCTAAAGCTATTGATAAGAAACAAGATGACAATAAAATGCACAGCCACTGTAACACCCAATTATGTTGGCTTTAGTTTCAGGGTCCTGAAGACAAATGAAAAGTCCCATGCTTTAGTGTGATGTGCCACCAGGCGGCCATCACTTGCACTGCAAGGGAAGCCTCCTACTCTAAAAAGGATGCAAAACTGCCGCATCCAGTTCAGCACTATAAGAAAACAACAAAAATCTATAATTTCTTCAAGTTCCATGCCTATTTATTTCATAAACTAGTATTTATATTTTTTTAAAAATTTATCACTTTTTCAAAGTGTATTTTGATGCAGATTTTGGAATAAACTTGTGATCACAATGTAACAAGATAAAACTTTTTTCAAATTGCTACCCATAACCTTGATGTTTAGAACTTTTACTTCTTTAATATAAGGATATTCTTGTAGAAACAGATAAAACTAGCTATAGTATGTAATGCTGATACTTATTTGTTTGTTTATTGATACCTGAATTTTATTTCACTTCAACTTTCCAATTAGGCAGACTATGAAATGAGGCCAAGAGTTGAAATCATCTTCTTTAGAACAAAGACTGGAACCCAAACCTGTTTTGAGTTAAATTTCACGCTATGTCCCACCCTTTTTAGAATCTCTTTATCTCTTAGTTTGTGCATTATCTACACATGATACCAGCCCACTGATTATATAGGTATTATAGGTATTTACAAATATATATAGCTGATGACATCCTTAAGGAGTGGATTCTGAAATGATCCCCATTAAGCAAATGGGGATGTTGGGGAGGTCCTGATATACTGCTTATGTTTAAAAGTTGCAAGCCAAAAACCTATTAATGACACACCTTTTCAGATATATTTTGACAGACTTGCTCTTGCTCTGCCATCCAAATTAAAACTGGCTACTCTACGTCTCTGCTTATATATTTGTGATACTGAATTCTGATAATGAACTGTCACTACATTCAAACAATATAAAATATCATGGCCTTTCACATCAAGCACACTTTTCTTTCACCACAGATTTTAAATGTCTGTGATGCCAATTAATTTTATTAAACATTTCATAAATACGTATTCAGTTACTTAGATAAAGAAGTTGGCGAAAGGAATATTCCTACATAAGTTGCTAAGTACCAAAAACAAATACTTGTGGGGAAAAATCTCCTAGTTTTCTGGCTCATTTCTTTATGGACTAAGTTACGTACAGATCAGTATAACACTGTAACTGGACAGGTAGAACACTGCTCATTTGTTGTTGAAAAATAACTAATCATAGATAAAATACACAGATCACACAAAACTTCATTCTGTCTTGAATTTTAACCACTTGATTAACCAAACCTTTTGTTAGAACGAAGAAAAATTAGCAACATCAATTTCTGGCAGTTTTTAAAAAAACTTTTTTTTTTTTTACCCTTCTGTGAAAATGCCAGATAGCCTAACACTGTTATATACATAGTAGACACCCACAAAAATTCAACAGTCTTTAGTTTTAGTAATAGCTTTGCCACTAATCAGCTCTGTATGCTTTGTCTCTTTGTACCTCAATTTCCTCATCTAAAATGCATAAGCTAAATTATTTCTAAGGTTCTATCCAGCTTTAAAATTCTATGATTCTATTTCACATCCAAAAGTCATCTAAGAGAAAAGAGAGGGTGAAGCCAGGGCTCTAGATAATGTTGAAAAAGGATCATCTCCTCTTGTTTATATACCCATGTCCTCTTCACAAGGAAAATAAAAGGTTCTTGGAAGTTTTAGGATCTTAAAACAGGCAGCAAGGTCAGAATAAGTGTATCCTCAGATGATTAACAGAGATTCCCACAAGAGACCCTGCTTGAGAGTGAGGAGACTAGAAGAGAAATATGGAAATATAAGTAAACCCTAAAATGGTTTCATGTTCAGAATCTGCTTTTTAGAGCAAATCTTAAATAATTTTCCAGGATTAAGAATGGCACATGATGTCCCTCTGAAGTTCTCTTTAAAATGTCACGATTATAGGACCTTTTAAATATTTTTTTCCTAATATGCTTAATTGAAAAATTACTTCATAATAGTTCTCGTAAATAAAAGAACAAAGATGTGAGGTCAGCTCAATGACAGGTGTACCTTATAGCTTTGGGTCAGAAACAGAGAAGAAGAATCAGTGTAACAGAAAATGGAATTACAGTAGGGAAAAAAACTTCAGCTTTGGGATCACAAAATTTGGGTCTGAGTCTGGGCTCTACCATTCAATAGCTGACTGACATTTGGAAATGTGCTTCATGTCACTAAGTCCAGAATCTTTATCTGCAAAATAAGGCTAAACTACCTACTTTTTTATTGAGGATAAAATGAAAAAATGTATATAAACATGCTCTAAAAACACTGAAGAGCTACACACATTACCTATTATTAAGAAGAAACTAAATAGGATGTATGGGAACTAAATCTACAACACTGTTTTCAGTCAAGCTAAACAACCTTGGACAGAAAAACTGTACTATAACAAAAAATAATTTAAAGAAATGAAAAACAAACAAGCAGACTGCAAGTTTATATTTTTTAAAAGTGCTCATAAAGATACTCACATTCTGCCAAACTTCCCATAAAAGGTACTCCTATTCCATCTTTGGAGTAACTGAGGAATTGAAATAAAGAGTATTAGTTTAAATTACAAATGTGAAAAAAATTGTTTATAACCAAAGCAAACATAATTTTGGTGGATTAATTAGGATTAATTAGATGTAATGATGAACACAGTTTTAGTGGTTTTGAGTTACCTGGAGAAATGAATGTAATTAGCTAAGGCTGAACCAGCTTGTAACAGCAATGCAGTTGTCAGAACCTTTAAAATCATGTGCATGGGTCCTCCTTTCTTAATAGCCTGCCACAATGATTGAGCATAAACGCAAGCAATCACAAAGTACACTAGGACTAGGAGGAAAAAGAACTCATGTAACCCTGTGAAGAGAAGAAAGGGAGTTTGCTTCAGTAAAACAAAGCCAGTTATAGTGTTGGATTGCTTTCGAATCTTTCTGTCAATATATTTCTAAAACTTGTTTTTTTTTTTTTTTTCCTTTTTGTCTTTTTTTTCATGACCGGCAACGGATCGCAACCCTCAGTGTCGTGCCTGTACCGGACCAGGACCGGCAATGGGATCGCAACCCTTGGTGTTGCGCCCGCACCTCGCTCAGCCAGTGAGCAGCCGGTCTGTATGTGGGATCCGAATCCTCGGCGGGAGCGCCGCCGTGCTCCCTGCTACAGTGCGCCACCGGGCCGGCCCTAAAACTTGTTTTTTAATTGGAGTCATAGCATTAATTTTTGTGAGAGAAAAAAAGGGAAATTGTAAAAACTTAAATAATTTTCTACTTTGGGACAAAGTTTTAATTATAGGAAGGCAGATTAAACCAAACTAGTTAAAGTCAATCTATAAAAAAGCATAGTCATCAGAGCAACTCAAAGACACACCAAAAATTGAGTTTTGTTTGAAAACAGTAAATGCAAACAATGATTTCAGCATTCAGTTGAATATACTTTTTACTCCCAAAGTGGATTTCTTTTGTAAGAAGTTTAGAAATGGATTTATTCAGTCAACAATAATTTATCATGCCCTGACAATGCTTCTTAAAGTATGGTCCTAGGGTGAGCAGCATTACTAGGAGACTTGTCCTAAATGCAAATTCCTGGGCCTAACCTCAGAAAGTCTGCAAGTGGAGCCCCACAATCTATGTTTTAGTAAGCCCCATGGGTGGTTCTGATACAGCTAACACATGAGAAGCACAACTATGAAATGTTCTATTACCTTGAATTTCCATCTGGACAAAGCCTCAAAATGCCTGTGATGTCCAGAACCCCCTTCTGAGGTAACTTTCTGCACCTCTTGTCAAAAAGGAAATCCTGTGGAGATCATGTCACTCGACAGTTGACTGAAACTATAATACCTAACCAAATGGCTACTAATCCAAGTGGCCAACAATATAACTTGGTTCTCAAAGGTAAGTTAGGCTAATCATATTCTCTCTCGGGAATTCAAACTACAAAACATGGTAACAAGTAGGCCATAGAAATTAAAGTTGAAAGGAGCTGATGTTGGGACAGGCCTGAGTTGTCAAATTAGGCCATGATAAAATCAAATGTTTGAGTGAGCAGAAATTAAAAGTGAGCTTGTTGGCAAAGATAAGAACATAGTAAGAATGTGCAGATTTTATATAAAAAATGGTGCCAACCATTATAGCAGACACTAGTTCCTACTAGCAGCTTTTCAGTATAGTCTTCATGTAACCTCATTATAAACATTACTTCTTCTGCATTAATTTGGGATCTTTTGACTAAGTTATTTTTCAGAAATTTCAGAAAAAACTTATAATAAACCAGAAGGCTATCTTTCAGTTTAATGGCTTTGAGTTTACTTGGAGTATCATGACAGTAACTGTTAATAGAGCTGTGTCTATTGAGTTTGTGGATGAACAATCTAAATCGCAATCACGTCCATTCCAATTGAACCCGCTCAGTTTCCCATTTGGGATAAACTCCAATTAACAGGCAGAGATGGGGAATATTTCTATTATATGGAAAATAATTTTGTAAAAGCACTCCAGAAGACACAAATTGTAGGAAAAACAGTCAATAAATAGTTCAACCTCAATCGTGTTTTTGGCATGGTTAGGAGAAAAAAAAAAGCAGCAAGAAGCATTTCAGCCACTGGGTGTCTCTCCTGCTCTATGTACCTAAATGTAGATAGTTTTCTAGTGCAGGTGAAAACGCATGTTTAGTTAGACTTTAAGAAGAGATCATCAAATAACAGAAGGAGCACATTTTCTTTTTAAACTCCTTACACAGAGAAGTATTCCAGCTTTAGAAATAATGGTACCATAATCCTAGGATTACTGAAGTACTGCAACAAGACAGAAAACACAAATGGTGAACATATTATTAACAACTGTGGGGCCAGCCCGGTGGCGCACTGGATAGTGCGCCGCTTGGGAAGCGCGGCGGCGCTCCCGCCCAAGGGTTCAGATCCCACATACAGACCGGTTCCTGCTCACTGGCTGAGCGAGGCGTGGGAGCAACACCAAGGGTTGTGATCCCGTTGCCGGTCCCCGGTCCGGTGCGGGGGCAACACTGAGGGTTGCGATCCGTTGCCGGACACGGAAAAAGACAAAAGACAAAAGACAAAAAAAAAAAAAAACAACTGTGGGTCAGTAAAATTCCTTGTTATCCTGTTTTTCTATCCTTAGTTTTTCTATTTCTTTCTTAGTATTAAAGAATTAAACATGGCATTCTATTTAAAGTTTTATTTATTTATAATATTTTACAGAATATCCATTCTGATAAAGTTTCAGTCTCCATTAGGTTACAAATCCATCATAAAAATAAAATCCTCAGACTATTTACTGAGGAATCAGAATAATGTAGGAGAAAGGGATTTTTGAAAGTAAGACATATATCACCAGCAAAAAATGTTTTAGGATTATTCAAGGTTAAATTTATCTTCCAGAAAAAACTAACATTATAACCAACAAAGAAAATTATCTCAGCGAGATACTATATAAAATGAATTAAACTAGGACATCTGTCTTACACGTTGGTTCACTGAATTTTAAATAAATGATCTTACCTCAAAACCTGTCCACAGTATAATTTAAAGATAAAATGCTGTTTCTGTACTCAGTGTTCTTTTAAATAAATCACCTCTAGCAGTCTCCCTGTTTTTTTTTCTCTTTAGCTACCAATTTTACTTTTGTTCTGCCACCAGCCTTCTCAAGAAGAAAGCAATCTGTGTTTGTTCACTTTAAAATTAAAATCTAATCTGAAGACTGGCAGATACTAAGTGTTAAATCTTCCTCAAAACAATGTATACTAAAGAAAAAATACTCGTAAAAGAGCATGCAACAGGTGGTAAACGCTTCTGTAGATTTTAAGGCAAGCTTAAAGGAAGAAGCACTGGCAAAATTAAGTAGAAGAAAACTCAGAGGACAGCTTCAATAAATTCAGCCCCAGCTAAGTGACGAGAGACAGGAGAGGAGAAGAGGGTAAGAAAAGGGGAAAGAGTCCTTGGGTCACGGGGCAGCACCTGGTATAGACAGTCCTGCCTGTCTCAGAGCCCCAATGTCCACCCACCCTCAAGTGTCCCAAGATATATCCTGATTAGTCTAAACCAATCAGAAATTCCAATACCCTTGCCAGTAGGAGGTAAAGATAATCCATACGACAGATTTGTCTACCCTTGTCTTCTTTCTGACATCTTAACTTAGATCTCTTTCATGATGCTGTATGGCAAGGGTATGTGACCCAGTTCTGGCCAATAAAATGTGATGGGGAGCTTCTGGGAAAGATTTCTTTGCTCTTAAAAGAGACATACTGATCTTTGCGATTATCTAGACTTGATGCCCAGAACTGCTGCAGCTTACTTTGAACTTGAAGAAGCTAGCCTGAGGACAAAGCAGGATAGAGAGATGATAAATAAACCATCCTAGAGAAGCCTCAAACTTCTGTGTGTGAGATAATTCATTTCTTTATTGTCTATACCACTTGCATTAGGGTTTTCTGTTACTTTGAGCCAAAAATATTCCAACATGTTACCAGGGCTAAATAGAAGATCCAACCCATTATCTTTTGGGACATGGAGAAAAAAAGGGACTACAGAAAAGAATGAGATGGCAGACGTGGCAGAGCCTGTAATATTATTTCAATGAAAAACAGTCTATATGCCTTTAGGTAACAATGCTTTCAGGATTCTGGGTACTACTTCTTTTGGTCTCTAACAAGAGCACAAATACAGTTAAAGATTCTAACGTTTTTAAGAAGGAGTTTTATTTTATTCTATCTTAAAGCATTATATTCCTATTTAGTACTTTGTCAAGTGGCAACAACCTTGCCTTTGTTTTTTTAATCTAGAGCAACTCTGTAAAATAGAAGATTACCCAAAGTCTGGTAGATATAAAACGCATAATTGGTTTGAAAGAAAACAAATTATAAAATTTAATCAGAATAAAATGTAACATTAATTTCGGCTATTTGCAGTAGGTTATTCTAATTTAAACCTCTCAACTATATGGCAACAGTTAGGTCTCAGTAAGAGGCATAGTAAATCAATTTTCCCTACTCAGAGCAGATAATTAGACGAACTAGCAAAAGTTTCTAAAATGAACTAATTGAAGATTATTCACTGGAAACAAATTCCATACCTGAGGGTACGGAATAGGAAGAATCCCTCTTATGGCTACTTTAAAACCAACACATTACTAAAACAATGTGGAATATGGACTTTTAGATCACTGGTTTCACACTGGTTTAGAATCAGCTTCAGAGCTTTAACTACCAATGCCTGGCTTCCACTCCAAATCAAATTTATTTGAGTCTCCAGAGACAGACATCTGGATTTTATTAAAGCTCTCCCAATTTATACACAGTGATGAGGTGAGAATTACTGATTAAAGTTCAACTACTCACAAAGGCTTTAAGGCATTTTAATCTTAATTCTTTAGAAATTAAGCAAGCCACATGTTATTCATATATGAATAACAAGCCACATATATTCAACAATGTTGAATACTTTTGGGTACTTCTGGAACTTTAAATAATCAATCTTCACAGGTTCTAGCCTTGCACAGAATCTCACACTTAATGAATATACATATTTTAGGGCTGATGGTTCGTATCCCCATACTCACCAGCCACACACACAAAAAATAAGAAAACATTATAGTGATATTTTGCTCCTAATCTAAATATTTTTGGTGACACGATCGATGTAACTTTCTCCATTTTACTACCAGAAAGACAGCTTTTAGACATAAGAGTAAGCATCCAAACCAAAAATCAGTCACAAAATTAGGAAGAGGAAGGTCAGAAGGAGTTAGGATAGTGTGAATCCTAAAGAAAAGCCAGCCAGAAGTCAGGATGTTGAGGAAAACACTAGACCAAATGGACAATGTTCAGGACAACATAGGGTGAGTATGACTGGCATTTAGTGGCCCAAGCATTCCACAGGGTACAAATGTGATCACTTTATGGCCTGCAGTCAAAGTTCACATGCCAAATTGGGGATGAGGAAAGAAACTAGAAATGGGAGCCTGGATAAGGAGGCAAGTAACAGATATCAGGATCCAGAAGACTCTCTTGGATCCACACAATAAAACAATCTCTGAGCCAAAGACCTACTGCCTGGAAGGCAAGGGGAGAAAGGGCTAGTAGATCTGGACTCCACTAGAGGCAGCAGGATTTGTGCATACAGTGATTGCAGCAGAGCATTACCAGTCCTAAAAATAAATTTCATATGAAATAATGAAGTCTTATGGTTAAAAACCATCCATTCAGTGCTATCAGTAGACCTTCTGGATTTCATCAACACCTTTTCAAAATATGGAAAATAAATGTCAACATCTTTTATAAAGATAAAAGAGATGGCAAGACTAAATTAACAGTCAATAATGATCTATACTGATCCAAGGTATCTTTAGTGAAATTCAACCTTTAAGTTCATCTGTATTCAAAAACAATTTGAATAGCTTATACTAATTTATTTCCTTCACAGAAAGAACTTTTACTTTATAACGTTTAGCACCCCACTGTCACCATGTATAAATTTTTTCAAACCAAAAAAAATATTAAGAAAATGTTTATCCTATTATGCATTAAGTTATTTGTGGTGTACTGTCTATAACACAATGCTCAAGTTGCTTTTCCAGCTGTGGCAAATTTATGCTTTGAACTAAACAATGCATTTAGTCTGATGTGGTATCACTCCTGTCCCACTTCCACCTGCTCCCCTTTATGGCCAATGAGATGCAATGGAATTAAATTTTTCTCTAAGCAGATTGACTTTTTCAAATGGGCGATAAACTCTTGAAGAAGTAACCCTTTTCTTTGGCAGATGATGGCCTACAGATCTTATTACAACATGTTAATTTACAAATCTGTTATACTTTATAGCAGGCGTACCGTGATCACAAGAAGTCATTCATTTCTATTGGCTAGGAATCTCTCTTCAGTAGAGCAGGTCCTAGTCACCTAAAATTTTCATCAAATATTTTATAGGAATAAATCTGATTCTGGAAAGCATTATAGACTATGATCACTCCCAAATGACTGCAAGCTCCAGAGAGGGCAATCCCTTAATTTGTTCCAACAACCAAATGAAGGGAAAGACACACGAAGTATAGTAGTTCAGTTTCTAATCTCAGTCATTGAGTTACCAATTTAGATTGCTCTAGTTACTAACATTTTTCTGTTTATAAAAATAATGCTAGGCAATCATATAAACAACAAAAATATTTAGAAGGTATAGAGAAAACTAAAACCTACACAACTTTACCACCTATAATATGGAAACAACCTCTGTTAATACTTTCATACTTCTGCTTTATTCCCTGCATTTTTAAATACATTGAAATCATGCAATATAAAATTTAGTGTTCTAGTTTTTTAACTTAATATAGCTATCAAAATGTTATAAGAAGATTCATTTAAACATTTTCCTACACTGGACACATAGGTTGCTTTTAATTTTTAATATTCTAAAAACACTACATGAACATATTTGTGCATAAATCTTTTTCTATAGTTAGGATATATTTAAATACATATTCTTACCAGATTCTCCAGCACTAAAATGATCAAACGGATTCCCTTCAGCATCTGGGTTTAGTAACACCATTTCAAATGGGATATCTTCCACCTGAGAATTCTCCCTCTCATCGCTGCATGTATACTTGTCTGCATAAAACACATGCCACGTTTGTGGAGACGGAATCTGGGACACTGTCAGATTATGTTCAGTCTGGTTCACGGGCACTTTAAAGAGAAAGAAGATAGCACCTTTCAAAGCAAAACTCTCAAATGCGTTCATTATTTTAGTTATATAATCAATTTGAGGTTAGAATCCTTTTGTTTAGTTAGTTTTTACTGCCTCAGAAATCCACGCTCTGGTGTAGTATTGGAATAAGGCCTGTAAATCATAAAGCAGATAAAAATGATGCATCTTAACTAAAGGAATAACTAGAAAGGCACTATAAAACACCACAAATAAGTAGAATGGTTTCACTCATGTTTGAATTTTAATTTTAAATACAAAGTTTCCAAGTGGGTTAGTGATATTTAAAAATCTTTTTTATTGTGAAAAAACACACACAACACAAAATTTATCCTTTTAACCATTTTTAAGTGTGCAGTCTGAGGCATTAACCACATTCATAATGCTGTGCAACAATCACAGAGACATTTTTGAAAATTACTGAGTTAAATCGAAAATGGAGCATTCAACTTAGAAAATCATTATATCTAAAAACTATGGCTGACAAATACTTTCAAAAGAGTTTCCAAAATCTTTTGCTGATTATTCTTTTAAGAAGGTACTAAATGTAGAAAAATAGAAGTTACAGGAATATAAAAGTTATCAAACTGTGTCCATGGAAAGTAGTATGATAGAGCAGGGAGGGGGGACTCATGAACATTAGCATCATACAGATATGTATTTGAATCCTGGCTTCAATACTTACCTGCTATGTGACCTTGGGCAAGTTACACAAAGCAATAACACTCACTTTCTTCATCTGTAAAATGAAGGTAATACCTACAGCACAGAGCTGATGAAAAGGACTAAGTTATACGAGTCACCTAGCATGGTATCTGTCACAGAATAGTTGATAAATAAATGTTAATATTCCTTTCCTTTCTTTAAACCAAGGTGGTTATACTAGTAAGTGGTTCTTAATTCAAGGTAATCCTGCTGCCCTCTAGGGCATTTGAAAATGTGTGGAGACAGTTTTATAGTCACAATAACTATGAAGATACTTGGAGGGGTCTGCACTAAACCTCATCCAATACCAGGTAAAGTCACACTGCAAAGAACTATTCCTCCTAAAATGCCAGTAGCACCTTCTTTTGAGAAATACAAAATGATGACTAAGCTCCCTTCCATATTTAAAACTATGATCCTGATCTAAGAGGCACTGCACTAATTCTGTCACAAAGCTGTAGGAGTCAGTCTCTCAAAGTCTAGGTATAACAAAAAGAGTAGTAGAGTTAGAAGAGCAAGTCTTGGCCTTGTGACTCAACAAATAAATTACAACCTCTCTAAATCTGTTTCTTCAATAGTAAAATGAAGACATCCGCTGATATGAATTGAACTGTGTCCCCCAAGTTTTGTGTACTAGAAGCTTGATCCCACTGTGACTGTGAAGTGGGTGGGAAATCCTGTTATGGCAATTGAAAAGTGGGGCCTTGAAGAGGTGATTAGATTCTGAGGACCATGCCATAGTGAATGGATTAATAATGGTGGTTATGGGCGTTGTTCTGAAGGCTTTAAAAGGAGACCATGCGAGAGTATCTCTCTCTGCTTCTACCATCTTGCAATGTGATACCCTGTGTCACTGAAGCCACCGTCAAGGAAGACCCTCACCAGATGCATTCCCCGGACTTTGGACTTCCCAGCCTCTGAAACTGTAAGCAATAAATTTTGTTTTCTTATAAATTACCCAGCTCCAGATATTTTGTTATATGCCACAGAAACTGACTAATACACCTGCCCTGTCTAGCTCAGAGTTCCTGTAAGGCAAAAACAGGATGGTACATGAAAATCCTATGTAAAGAGTATGATACTATACAAAGCAGTGTATTCTTAAACGTAATTTATGATGGGCCCAATTTCTATCTTTACTCTTAGAAGATATATGCTAAAGTATGGAGGGGCAAACTGTTCATGATACCCACAGCTTATTTTCATAAGGTTCAATTAAAAAAAAAAGTCAATGGATGGCCAGTTAGCTCAGTTGGTTAGAGTGTGGTGTTATAACACCAAGATCAAGGATTCAAATCCCCACACAGGCCAGCCACCAAAAAAAAAAAAGGACATGCATTCAAATGTAAAAAACAGTAAATTTATTAATTTAATAATATAAATAAATTTTAAATAAATTAATTAAATAGTAATTAATATTAATTAATTACTGAATCTGAGCAGAAGATATACAGATGCTGGTTGTATTATACTTACTACTTTTCTGTATGTTTGAAAATTTTCCTAGGAGATTCAAATTTTGAGGACTTGAACTTTACAAATGGGAATTTCACTCATTAGTAGTTAAATGGAACAAGAGGATTTGATTAACAATACCATGGCATTGTTTTTTTGACTACTGTAAGTTAGCTAACATTTCTACTAATTTTTTTTTTTTTGTCTTTTTTGTCTTTTTCCGTGTCCGGCAACGGATCGCAACCCTCAGTGTTGCCCCCGTACCGGACCGGGGACCAGCAACGGGATTGCAACCCTCGGTGCTGCTCCCGCGCCTCGCTCAGCCAGTGAGCGGGAACCGGTCTGTATGTGGGATCCGAACCCTCGGGAGGGAGCGCCGCCGCGCTTCCCAAGCGGCGCACTTATCCAGTGCGCCACCGGGCCGGCCCTCTACTAATTTTTTTTTAACCATACAGCTTCTGGAAAAATGTAGTAAAGACTAGTTTAAATATTTGAAAACCTCTAATAAGGACTTAATATACAATCAATAAATCGTTCAGGAAAAAGGCTGTTTAAACATGCAGTTTGCAATTACATAATCTGGACCTCATTTTTTAAAGGCTCTGCCATGTTGCTGTGTTATCACTTGCACTTTTTCTCTCAGACAAAACATTGTAAAAATTAACCATTATATTTTCACTAATATACTTTTCGATGTTTCATTTTAAATTATGTGGATTTATATCAAATAAAACAAAACTGTACCTCATAAAGTGATACCAGCTTTTAGTTTTTGTCTTGTTTTTTTCAGCAAGCCTCTTGACAAAACTGTGTGTTCACTGTTTTTGAAACAAAAGACTATAGCATGACATGCATATTCTATGCTGGTATAATTAGTATCTCAAATATTAACAAAACTTGAATTCCAGAGAATACGGTTGAGTGGCTGATTGCTCAATTGTATTATAAAAAGAAATGAATACTGTTAACCAAAATACACAGAATAATTAAATACTTACTCCTTTAAATGGTTTATAAAGTATATCAAATGTACAAAAGAAATCATGCATAAGATGTAAAAAGGCAATATTGAAATGCTTCATATTATATTTAACTCCTGTAATCTGACAGCAAATTACTATGAACTCCTTGTAAAAATTTTTCAGATAGAAACATATAAACTTATTTTCAGTGCTTTTAAGTGTCTTGTTTCCTTACTTTAAAACCTACAAAGAAGTTTTTAGCATTAAAAAAAAATCTGATGTTTTATGACATTAGAGAGGATTGAAAAATCACTTCTCAAACATTAACTTGGGAGAGTCAAGCAACATTCAACACAAAGAGATTTTTCACTAGTCTTTTCATAGTGCATAGCAGCAGTAAGGTTTTACATAGGAGCTGGGCATAGTTAATGAGTTCATTACCAAATAGGTGAAAGGTTTTTAATTCTTAAAAATCTCATTAATAGCCAGTAAATGCACTTCTCACAAGGAATTATCTCTAAATATGTGGTACTATTACAGTGTCATGATTTTAAGAATATGAGTATGCTTTTTGTTTCAATGCACCTAAGCTCCTGAATAACATACTATAATTATGACAACTAATATATAAAAGTTGGAAACAGTAGATTTTCTTATGACTTGGATTTTGTTTTTGGAAAAAGAATTGATGAAATATATAGAAAATTTTATACTATCAGTACTTAATTCATTTCAGGCCCCAAAATTTAACAAAACAATCTTCATTCCTCTAGAATTCCTGTTTTCTGATATTTTCCGTTCCATAATTTCAAAGAATACCTCTGGACTCAACAGAAAAGGGAAGAGGAAGGGAAAACAGAAAAAGAAACAACAGCGAGAGGTTTCATTAAATTATATTCCCATATATATATGTAACTCCATTCTAAAGAATTATGACTAGAATTGCAGCATTTTAGGACTGTCAGGGACCTTAGAGAAACCTAGTCCAACTTCCTTCTTGTACAGATAAGTAAAGTAAGGCTAAACAATAAGGTCTTGTTACAAGTCACTAGCAGTGATTCTCAGTGTAGTGGTCTTCCCATTGTACCACATTGTCTCCCCGTATACAGAAGTTCTGGAATGCAGAAATATGACTGATACAGAAATGGTATTTTTGCAAGTGTATATAGTAAATGGTATAATAATGACCATGTGATACAAGAAGACAAATTGATACTCCTATAGCTCAAAGCTTTAAACTGCCTGGTAAGTTTTTATTGGAAGTGCCAAATACAAAAAACAACGTACCAATCAAAAGACTTCTCAAGCCCTAAGCTCTATGACTATTCATCCTACAAATACTTAGTAAATACTTAACTAAGCACTAGGGTATCATAAATTCTCCTTCTCCAGCACCATGTAATTAGCATTCATGGTTCTTACCACAATTGCAATTTCACATTTATTCACATTGATCTGATTCATTCCTGTCCCCATCCCTAGCTTTAAGTACTGAGAGAGTGTCAATCTTTTGGTCACTCATATATTACCAGTGCCTAGCACAGTACACGAAACAATAGAAGTGTTCAGTGAATGAATGAGTGAATGAACAGACCAAAAGAACCCTACTGCTCCATTGATTGATTTTATAACAAATAAACAAAATGTAAAGAGGTAACTATGATAAGCGTTGTGCTGGAAAGCAAGAGGCTATACAAACTTAGGTGCTATATCTTAGTGGAGGAAGGAGCAGAAGAGAAAAGCCTGTGTTAAGGCCCAGTGTGGCACTGAAATAAATGAGGTGGGAGGGGAGCAATGCTGTGAGATGAAGCTGAAGAGGTAAGCAGCAGCCAGTCTATGGTGGCTTTGCTGATGAGATTAAAGAGGCCTGTCTTTGCCCGAAGAGCAGTGGGAAACCACTCAAGTATTTTAATGGTATGGTGAGGAAGTGAATGTAACATCACCAAATCTGCTATTTAGAAAGATCACTCTGGCTACAGAAGAAGGACCAGAATGGCTGTAGAGTGGCCAGACAGGAGGCTATGGCAATAGTACAGGCAATAGATTACGGCAGCTTGGAATAATATGGTAGAGAGGAAGAAAAGTAGATGAATTCAAGAGATATTTAGAAGTAAAACCTCAGGACTTACTGATAGATTGGAAGAGGGTAGAAAGGTCAAAGAGGGGAGTTTTAGAAGACTCACTGGTTTCTTGCTTATTTACTGGATGGATGGTGGTGCCAGTTCCTTAAACAGGAAACACTGGAAGAGAACCAGGTTTGGATGGGAAAGATGGGGAATTCAGTTTGGACATTTTAAGAACGGGGAATTGAAAGACATGAACTTTTATAGATGAGCAACTTGGCATAGAAGGAAAAAGATAACTGATGATCACTTGCACGAATTTCTCAGATAAGTTCTGAAATTCACAGTTGAGGTAAATAACTTTATGTAAATGTCTCTTTCATATCTGAATCCAATCATTCAGACTTCTTCAGCATACTGTCAATGTCATCTCACAAATTTAGATAAAACATCCCCACAATGAGAAGCAAGAAGTGGAGACCTATACTCTTCTCACTATTCTAGCTAGCTGCCTTATGAGGGAACCAGACAGCTGCTAAGATTAGGAAGACTGGATGGCTAGAAATGAGAGTGTTTTATTTGAGTAGGCTAAAAGAAGAGCCTACCATGTTCTACCTATGTATGAGTTTCTGAATAATAGGGGGGAAACGGGCGAGAGGGTTAATTCCTATTTTTCCTCATGGATGCTTCAAATTCTTAACGTCTCCTACAACCAATTCACTTCCAAGGGGTAAATGGGTAGGATGGCACATGCTCTTCATTTCTATATTAAAAAAGATTTGCACTCACTCAGCATGGCTAACACCATTGGATAGTGTTGATGAGAATGGATGACATCAAGGATTCAAGCTGTATTAGGATTTTTAAAAAGTAAAGCCTCTCTAGAAGCAAACCCAGAGATTTACAAATGATGCAGTGCTGATACATCCCAAAGACATAGTCACTATACAATTAAGTCTCATGTTCTAGTGACATGTTGTAAAGCAGTATCACTTGGGGTAAATTATACAATTAACTGAGATAATACATGTTTAGTGTTTAGCTTAGTGCTGGCAGATAATTGGCATTCAACAAATATTATTATCTACTCTACACTGCCACTGCGTTAAAATCTCTCTCTCATATAGGCATGAATTATGGAAACTGTAAAGAGTCCAAATGAAGAAAAGGATTCTTTTATAAATTATCTGGATATATTTTTTTTAATTTTGAATAATAAAGGGGGGAAAGGCATTCTATCTTTTGAACAAGGAAAAGGTTAGTTTCCTTAAAATTCAGTTTAAAATGTGCTAGAAAAAGTGTCAACACAGTGTGATGTACACTGTCATGAAACACCTTGGTATGTACATACTATTCTATATTTCAACATTAAGGAGAAAAAAACTCCAATATCTAATGATCAAAGAAAAAAGAATATACTCACATGTCAGCTGAGCTTTGGATAATTTTTCACTACAAGTATAACCATGACTGCTTTCCTGAAGCTCTAGCCATTCCTGGGCTTGGAACAGGTAGAGTTTAGCTTCTTTTCCAACAGCTGCTGCTATGTTGTTGATTCTGACACACAGAAGAGCACGGTCACCTTGACATTAAAACAAAAATTATCAACTGGTTCGAACTTGTATGGAACTGAGATGGTAGGACAACTCAACACCTCTACTTATCAAAATGGGAATTTAAAAAACACAATTTTTCTAAAATCTCACTTAACTAGGTAAATCACATTACAATGAGCATTACATTCAGATGCAAATCTAGAGATTATTTAAATTAGTATGTGGTGTTTCCTTATAATTCAGAGGATAACTGATAACATTTCACTGAATAAACAGCAACATTTGTGGTATTAGGACATTTGCTGTAATAGACTTTTTGCCTAAATTTACAACCACTCCAAATGTCTTTTACATTTGTTCATAAACAAAACAGAAGTTTCCTGCCAAAGTTTCTTTTTTTTAAAAAGATAACATAGCTGTTAATATTTAATTATACCTTTAATATTAAAAATAAGCAGAGCTAACAGCAAGAAAGTTTAAATAAATTTGATTTACAGTAGACATTTTACACCTGAAGCAAAATTTGACATCTGTGATTTTTACAATAGAACTTGCAGAACAATATATGCTGTGAGATTAACACAGAGTAAGCCTGGTGGCACACACCCAGACATTTAAGACCAGAACAAAAATAGCAAAAAGGAGTTGATTCTAACGAAAGGACTCTGGGTGAGGAGGGGTGAAGCAGGAGACTGTTTTTCATTTTTCACCTTAAGGTATTCGATTCTCTTGAAGTTTTTTTTTTTTTTTTTTTTTTTTTTTTACTTTTGTTACTATATTATTACTTTGATAAAACATTTTAAATACATTTAAATGTATAGTATATATCAAAGAATGTCTAAGTCTTTACATAAACTGATTACATTAGAAATTATCAACAGTCTTATAAGTGACTCTAAGGCCCTATTAACACCTTAAATTGCATTGAGTTAGTTATTTCAGTATACTTTTATTATTTTTTTACTAAATTAGAATTCAGTGAAAATTGGTAATAACTAAATATATATATATATATATATATATATATATATATTAGAGAGAGAAAATTGGAACACCCTGTTCCCAATCTGTTTTGGATTTAGTACATGTTTAGTACGTCTGGATTTAGTACATGTTTCTCCTCTATGATCACCAGGTAATCATCATGAACTATCAGTTATCTGAAGTCTCTCTGCTGGTCATTAGTAATAAGCCCTGTCATACCTTCCACACATCCCCAATTTTCCACCATTGTTCAGATTGCATCATTTATTATAGTGACATTACCATCATTGTCAATACTAAAAGTATGGTTAGAGTCAGTTGATTAAGAAACTTAAAATGTGACAAAAAATAATAAAGTTGTTTCTAGGGTTTCTTCTTCATTCATCCAAGGTATAGTCCATACTGGATTTTGGAAAGCTGGGTTGCATTCCTTTTCTCAGCTATCTTAAAAACTTCAAATTAAAAAAAAAAACAAAACAAAACCCAAAACAAAAACAAACCAAAAATACGTTCCCTTCCCTGTATAACATCAATTTTGTAATTTCCTTATACTTTAAATTCCCTTCCCACATGAAAATAGCTTCTAGTTTCTATTATCTTCTCCTAAGAATCCTTTCTAGGTCAATATTCTGATCTTCATAGTCACATCTTTTAAGGCTTAAGCCTGTATAAAGCAAAGATTCTAACCTCATCAAGGCATATCATTATTTGAAATACATTACTAGTCAAATTTAGAGTGCCAAAAGGACGTACCAAGAAAAACACTTAAATTTTGAGGGTGCAAATGAATGTGGCAAAAATTAGAATGAATTGCAAATTCATTAATTGCAGTAATAATCATTGATTTCTGAGGGAGACCAGAAGGTAAGAATCAAATGCAGCTATAACTTCAGAAGGGCCGGAAAGAATACAAATGACAAAACTTCCAGGACACAATTTACACGCATTTCCGTCAACTCAATTCTAGGCCTCATGGTCCACATTAAATCGACTGCACTCGTGGCCAACTCTTCCGGCAATAATGACTACCGGATTATCAGATGTTTTACTCGGTTTCCAAAACCCCTGTGCTGCAATTAGGTTTTATTAAAGTGGTCTTAAAAACAAAAACTAGAAAATCTAAGTTCTGGGCTTAAATGCACACGTAACTACAGTGCCTTAGTGTATATAATGTGGCTGAAAAAGGAGTGAGCAAACGATACTTCTTCGGGGGAAGGGTCTGGAAAGATGCAGACCGGTCATTGGGGTATTCATTTGCATGGGGTGGGGGAAGGAAAGGGGCGTTCAGGAGCAGAACACAGTCACTAATGGCCAGAGGTTGCTGCCCAGCAATGGTGGAATCAGCAATAAACACATCGCACGACACCGGGCGGGGGAGGGCTGCGGTGACGCTGGAGGTCCAGGTGAGGCTGCTGAAGTCGCCGGCCTCGCCCAACGGGGCGGGGTGGGGCTGGGCGCCGCCGGTTCCAGGTGCCTCCGGGGAGGGAGGTTGGAGCGCCCCGCGGCCCGGCCGGCGGGATGGGCCCACGAGTCCTCAACCCTCTCCCCGCCCCGGACCTACCGTGGAACTGGAAGTGGCCGATGCTCTGGCCCTGAGCGTCTCGGGCCGCGGCGCTGCTGAAACTGCCCCGTAGGGTCTTACCCTGGCTGCCCTGCGGCCACCAACAACACGTGAGGGCCACCGCCAGTAACCGCAGCCCCCCCATCCCCGCCTCCAGCTCTGCACCGACGCCCGGGGCCCTCACCGCCTGCGGCTGCCAGCCCCACGTCGGCAGCAGGAGCGAGTGGAGGCGGCCGGCGCCGCGGTCCGTCTCCTCCGAGAGACGACAACCAATGAGGCGGGCCCCTCCGCCACGAGCCAAGAGTGTTCACCAATCAGAGGCCGAGGTGGGCGGGACGTGTAGCTCCGCGCGTCCCGTCACTCCCCTGCCATGACTAGTTCCCGCCTTTTTGTGTGGGGAATCGGGAGGATGTTGCTTCAGGTTACGTAAAAATTATCGCTCTCTTAGTTTCCCTGCGCGACGTGCCACTGCGCATGCGCGGACAAGCTGCTCGGGTCCTTAGGGCTTGGACAGGCCTGTGGAGTTAGGAAAGAGCCAAGAAAGACAATACAGGATCATTTCTGGTCAAGAGGGGAAAACTCCCTTAAAGCAAGACCCATGTTCTTCAGCTTTTCCTCTCGGTGCCTATATAACTTACTGGACATGTCCATCTTTATTATTATTATTTTGCAGCTGACAGGTGCAGGGATGGAACCCCGGACCTTGATGTTATCAGCACCAGGCTCTAATCAACTGAGCCAGCCCGACATGTCCACTTTAATGTCTCAAAAACACTTAACTCTACACGTCCAAAGATTAATGCATGACTTGTCACCTCCAACCGATTTTTCCCTCCTGGGTTCCCTGTCTTCTTGAATTACATCCACCCAGCAGACCAGACACCTGGGAATGATAGCGCCCCCGCCCCCCACCCCGCTTATGCCCTCACATCCAATCAGTTCAATGACATGTCATTAGCTCTTCTTCCGGTGATTCAGGCCAAGGGAGCAGCAGACACAATCATATTCAGGCCACGATGAGTCACCATTTGGCCTAGGCAGTTGACATGCCTCCAGTCATTTCTCTCTAATGGCTACAGTCCGTCTCTATCCTAGAGCCACAGAAAGCTTTAGGAAATGCAATTGGACTGCATCACTTTCCTTCAAAAGCTCCCCATTGGCTGTAGTGCACAACCCAAACTCTTTAGAATATGGCTCTCAAGCCTCTCAAATTTCCATCTCTCAACTTCTAATCTCCATCCTTACCACTATCTGTTCACTGACCACTCCAAGTTTTCACCTGTTGGCCTGCATCGCTTGCAGATTCCTCTGGCTGGAATACTTCTACTTATTCTACCATTCAACCTCCACATCACCTTCTTTTTCCTACTTTACTCCTCTTTCCCAAGGCACTTTAAGAAACCTTTCTCAACCCCCCAAACCTGTATTATATGCCCCTGGAACCAGAATCCCTTCCTTCCCTACCAGGGCACTTACCACACTGTATTGTAAATGTGTGTTAATTTTTCTGAATCCCCCACTGTATTTTAAGCTCCAGGTCGTCAGAGACTGTGCCTTTCTTGAAAGCAGGATCTCAAAAGTATTTCATGAATAAATGTATATTAATTATTTTCATTCAGCAACAAGCTTTTACAACAGATAAGCAATTTTTTACAACAGACCTCACAATTTAGCAAAAGAAATCTTGGAGGAACACCTCCAATCATATACCCAGCATTTTCAGTATCTCTGGCTGACCAGGAATAAACTGGAAGTATTAATATTTGGGGACTTGAAAAATTGTACTGGTTCTTTTTTATTACGGAAGTAATTCATGCAGCTTAGAAGAAAGTTCATAGTCAAGAATATCTGAAGTAAAAATTAAAGTTGCCATTTCCTCCTTTCTCTGCCCATAACCGATACCCAAAGTTAACTTCTGTTAATAGTTTAGGATGGATCCTTTCAGACAAGCCCTTACAAATATGTGTATTTGTAAACCAAGGACAGGAATAAAATTGGTCTTGAAGAAAAACCAGAATATGGGCCTTGAATGCTGTGAGACCTACTATCTCTTGTCTTCTGTCTTTGATCGACTTTGTTTTTCCTCTCTCACTGAAGACAGACTTTTCAGTTCCTCAGTTCAATTGAAAGAATATGGCCACCGAGTTCCAAATTTGTAGGTCCTTAGAGTTCAAGAAGAGCAACGAGACTATCCTAGAATCTTAGTCCAATTCTAAATCCTAAGGAGAGGCTTCAATTGGCCTAAGGTGAGTCAGATACCCATTCTGTGGCCTGCCTGGCATGGATCAACTTGGAGAGATAAAGGATGGAGAATCTGGTCAGAAAAAACCATAAGTATCTACTATAAGATATTCTGCTCCTCATTCCATGTAGGCACATTCTTTTTAAAGGTTAATAGTCCATTATATTTATGAAGTTAGATGATATTATAGACATTTAGCTTATGTCCAGTTTTTCATTATTATAAGCAATACAGCAATGCACGGTTATCAATATTATACATCATTGAATTTGGGGGTCATAAAGTATGTACATTTGAAATTTTCATATATATTACCACCTTGCCCTCCCAAAAGGTTGTAACAACAGATGATGGTTCCACATATATTGGGTATTCCCATTCTTCTTAGGCTTTGCCAAAACATTACGTGAAAAGTATATATATTTATTAATTTATTCGGCAACATTTACTGATCGTTTATTCTGAGCCAGGCCCAGTCCTAGGGACTTGGGATTATTGTATAACAGGAAACAAAACAAAGCCCCTGCCCTAATGTGGCAGTGACAATGGACACTAACATCAAGGTAAATGTCGATTGTTCTGTGAAGAAAAGAAGGGTAAGATGGTTCGGCAGGGATGGGGTAGAGTTTTTTGCTATTCCGATTGGGGCGTTCAAGGAAGAAATCTCTAACAGGATGACATTCAAGCTCAGAACTGAAGAAGTAAGAATAAAAACGAGGCCGACATCTGGAGAAAGGGCATCCAGGCCCTGGGGAAGTAGCAAGCCTGGCGAATTCAAGGAAAAGCAAGGAGGACCGGGAGCCTAGGGAAGAATGAGCAAGGGGAGAATAGGATAAGATTCAAGGGCAGGATCTAGGGAACATCTCTATCACGACTGCAAGCAAGCTGCGCTGTCTGCAATAATAACAACAACAACAGTAAAAGATCTTTGCAATTGAAATCTCCCATCTCCACACTACGAGAAGAGAACGGCCCGGAGTTCTCAGCTCCACTGATGCGTAACCTCTGGAGAGGACTGCAGTACAAGAATGAAAACTTGTGTAACTCAGACCTGTGTATCTAAATAAAGCCTCATCCATGCTCGTGACACCTGCCCGGAAAGCCTTCCAGACCGACTGCCCCGCTGACCCTCTTCGCAGACGCCCAGGTATTGGCGGATAGGAGCTGCGCCTGCGCGATGGCGCCGCGCGGCCCCGCCCAGCCCGCCAGTGGGCGGGGAAAACCGGCCGCGTCGCCACTCTCCGGAAGCTGCCGCTGCCGCCCGGTAAACGTGTCGGGGAAGCCAGGAGCGTCGCAAAAAGTCGCAGTGCAACTCTCCTACGGTCTTCAGAGCCGGCGCTTTACGGTGCTAGGTACTGTCGAGCTGGGAGATGTCGGCGGCGGGCAGGGCAGAACCTTTGGGTCCTCCCAGCAGCTTTGCGAAACGGGTCCTGGTGAGCCCGCCAGTGGGCGGGGAAACCCGGCCGCGTCGCCACTCTCCGGAAGCTGCCGCTGCCGCCCGGTAAACGTGTCGGGGAAGCCAGGAGCGTCGCAAAAAGTCGCAGTGCAACTCTCCTACGGTCTTCAGAGCCGGCGCTTTACGGTGCTAGGTACTGTCGAGCTGGGAGATGTCGGCGGCGGGCAGGGCAGAACCTTTGGGTCCTCCCAGCAGCTTTGCGAAACGGGTCCTGGTGACCGGGGGTGCTGGTTTCATGTAGGTAACGGCGCCGCTGGCCGAGCAGTGGCTCCCCAGAAACTCCAATCTTTTCCTGCGGCTCTGTTTGCCCTTGGCAATTTGGGTCCAGCTTTGGGGGGGTCTGATATGGGGGAGGGGACTCATGCACGATCGGGATCATCCTACCTCCTTCTCTCTCCCTGGCCCGCAAAGACTTGGCTTCTTTGAAACTGCGACTTCTTTAAAACGCTTCCTTCCCAAAGCGAGAGTGCTGTGATCCACCTCCTACCTGGGGAGATGCTGACCACCTGTCACTCCTGTGAGTTTGCACACATTACAGTAAGAGGCTTCCTGACTGCTTCCCACCCCAGTGATGCGCACCTTTACGTACAGTCGCCCCCAAAACGATTTGGAGATTATGACAGGGCATTCATTCATTCAGCAAACTATAAAATCTTGTTAGTGCCTCGACCTGAGCTGGCAGTTCGATGCCTCTTTCTCTCTCACGCCCACACTGGATCACCAGGTCCTCTCTACTTGCAAAATGTAGTTTTAAGAAGACCACGTCTCACCACTCCCCCCTGCCACCCTAGCCCGTGCTACCGTCTTCTTTTGCCTAGACGACTCCTGTAGCCTTCTGATGGGTCATGCTGCTTCCACTCTTGGTCCCTTCAAGTCTGTTCCTCACGCAGGAATCAGTGCTTCTTAGGTAAATCCGATCATGTTAGCGCGTAGAATTTTACTCCATTGGTTGCTGTCAGACTTGGAATAAAGTACAAACTCTTTACCATATGTAGAAGACTCAAGTGTCCAAGCCGTACTTTTCCAACCTGACCCCCCCTTGCTTTTCTTCCCTGCCACACTTACCCTCTTCCAGTTCTTGGAACACACCAGGCTAGTGCCTCCTCCTGTCGTGAGACCTTGCTCTTGCTTCCGCTTTGCTTAGGCTGTTTCACCGCTCAGTTCAGGCTTTTACTTAGATAGCTCAGAGGCCTCACCTGACCACCCTGTCTAAAATAGCCCCTCTCCCAACTAACACACCTATCCCTACCTGATATTATTTTGCGTAGTTGTGTTTACTTGTGTGTTGCCTGCGTCCCCACTCTAGAATGTAAACTCCATGAGGGCAGAGACTGTTGTTCAGGGCACTTGGAAGAATGTCTGGCCCACTTTATGAAAGTTTTCAGTAATTATTAAATGGATGAATGCAAGAGTAATAAACAGAAAACTCTCCTACCCTCAAGGAACTCAGTGTCTACAGGAAGGAGAGGGAACGTGGGGTCTTGTTTATTGCCCATTAGCACATTCAGTCACCCTTTCTAAATGAGTCACTTGGCGGAGGGTTCAGGCAGGAAAGGTCACTTAATCAGAAGAGGAACGTGGACATGAATGCGTGGTGCTTGTGTGACAGCACTAGTCCAGCAAGGGCGTCCTGGAAGTGCTGTGAAAGGGCTGCCAAGTACAAACTGAGTTCATAGTTTGGTTGAGGGCTGCTATTAGTCCTGGGAATGCAACATTTTAAGTGTGTTTGATAAAATCAGGTAGATCATCTCCCTGAGATATGCCTCTTGTTCCACTTTGGGGTCTTCTGAAGCCCACGAGCCACTTTGGTTTATTAGCCTGGGAAACCTGCGTTCAGACTAGGACCTTCTTGAGGGTTCTGGTTTACACATCAAATTCTTGTACCAAGAGATAGCAATTGCAGAAGTTATTATAAACATAGGAATTGGGTTTTTGCATAATTATATTTGCAGTTCCTGAAAGGCACATAGGTTACTGTTTCAGTACAGTTGCGCTGACTGGCACCCATTATTTTTACTATCCTGTTTTAATTTCACACTCAAAGCGTGCATGGAGAGCATCATTTGGTTAAACTGATTTTTTTCTTTATACCCGGAACCAGTAAATTCTCTCTTCTTCATAGTGTAAAGGGAGTGTAAGACGTTGTTTATAGATACTGTTGAGGAGTTTAGCGACAAGTGTGTGTGTGTTTGTGTGTATTCAGTGTAGTTATATTTCTGTTATCTTGGAAAAATTTAAAGTTGTCTTTGAATATTCTCCTAATACTTGACAGCTTAGGAAGACATTCAAGAATTTAGGGAGGTTCATTGGAATTTGGATCATTAATTACTGTCTTGTGATTTCCCCCATGCTTTGCCCCTTTTCTAGCATGTTAAATAATAAAATTTGTTATGCTTTTTCTTAAAAAAAAAATTGTTTTTTTCACTAACAAGATACACATTTTTTTATAGTGCATCACATTTGATTGTCTCTTTAGTAGAAGATTATCCAAACTATATGATCATAAATCTAGACAAGGTGAGTTTTATAAAAAGGAGCTTCATGCACTGAAATTACATTTCAATTTAGCCACATTTTTGAAAAGTACTAGAATACTGTTATGCTGATAGTTTAGTTTTTTATTTAGATCTTTAATTTATCTTTTTATTTAGTCATTTTAGCAACTTAGGGGTCTATATAGTCATATGCTCATGCTGTGTTTTATCTTATATAAAATCTTCTGAAACTTTCTTTTTTTATTCTAGTCCATAAAGTGAAGATTTTAAGTGCAATATTTTTACCAAAAGAAAACCTTCATCCTTTCTAAATTCAGTACTTAGTGTAATCTTGTGATTACTAATCTTTTTTGATATTAGAATACTTTATTTGATTTAATTATTTACCTATTTGATTTTATAACTGTCACTTCCTGGAAAATTATGTTTTATTTTTAAAATTAAAATGTAATTAAATTGATTTACTTTTGAGGACATTGCAGTAGTAATTGGAGTCTCCCTGCAGAACCTGAAAGCCATGGGTGTTAATCACTGGGTTTTTTAGTTTAAAAAGAAGATGCAAATGGTTAACTTAATTTTATAAAACATAATAGTAAAAATGTACAGACAAAGAATAACCCTTAACTCTTATGAATTTTGTCTGCCTTACTACTATGGACAGGATTTTTTTTTTTCTCTCATCTGTATGCCAATTTACTAACGTTACCTCAGAAGCAGTGTAATGAGTTATAATATGTATAACACAGGTGTAATTATTTTCAGTCACTAATTCTTTTTCTGTAAAGACGGTAAACTTTTCTAGTGACCAGTGGCTGGAGGCAAATTTGGGCAGAAGATTTTTTTTTCTTTGGCTGGCCAGGATGAGGATCTGACCCCTTGACCTTGGTGTTATAGGAACATTTTTTTTTTTTTTTTTTCCTTTTTGTCTTTTTTCGTGACCAGCAACAGATCGCAACCCTCAGTGTCGCGCCCGTACCGGACTGGGACCGGCCACGGGATCGCAACCCTCGGTGTTGCTCCCGCCCCTCACTCAGCTAGTGAGCAGCTGGTCTGTATGTGGGATCCGAACCCTCGGTGGGAGCGCCACCGCGCTTCCCAAGCGGCGCACTATAGCAGTGCGCCACCGGGCCGGCCCATAGGAACCTTTTTGTCTTTTTTTGTGACCGGCAACGGATCACAACCCTCAGTGTTGCACCTGTACCGGACCGGGACCGGCCACGGGATCGGCCACGGGATCGCAACCCTCGGTGTTGCTCCCGCCCCTCACTCAGCTAGTGAGCAGCTGGTCTGTATGTGGGATCCGAACCCTCGGTGGGAGCGCCACCGCGCTTCCCAAGCGGCGCACTATAGCAGTGCGCCACCGGGCCGGCCCATAGGAACATTTTTTAAAGTAGATGTTTATAAAAAGGTTTTTGGGTTTTGCTTTGTTTTTGTATTTTGAAAAGGTAAAATCACTTTTTTGTTTTTTACTTTTGAGATGTCAAACTTAAATGTGTAAAATCACAGGAAACACACTTTAAGAAGACATAGTCTTGTATTACAATCATTAACATGTGTAGTCTTTAAAAAATTGATATTTTATAGGAAAAGCTAAAGCTAATATTATTACTTTTTGTGTTGTCCCCCCTCCCCACCACACTCTTATTTTAAGCTGGATTACTGTGCAAGCCTGAAGAATCTTGAAACCATTTCTAGCAAACAAAACTACAAATTTATACAGGTATGGAAGTGTTCTTATAATTATTGTACTGTGCATCTTTAGTCATGCAGAGATTCTATTATCTTTATACTTTACAGACTTGTGTAATATGAGCTTGGAAGGCACACATAAAGACGTTTTAAAAGATCAGGTAGTTAATTTCTAGCATGTGCTCTTGAGAATACCACTTTTAGATTGACAGTACATAAAAAGCTACATGTGATTTTTGGTACCTCAGCAGATCTATAAGTAACTGATTGAGTTTACATGGTTTGTAGTTTTAGGTCCTCACTACTTTTAATAAGGCCTTCCTGGGATTTGAAGTGGTGATTGGTTTAACATGGAGTGTGACTCTGAAAGGGCAGCCAGAAGCCCACCACGTACAGGATGGTCTTTCCTCATGGTGGTTGATTGGCTCTGGAAGGCTGCTGCTTACTAATGACCCTTAGATGAGTCCAAAGTATAAACCGCAGGGCCAGTTCATTAATTTGCAAAGGGAAACATTCCTATCAAATGAAACTATTTTTTTTTATGATTTATGGGATTTTTTTTTTTTAGAAAAAGTGATTCTATAAACTTTTAAACCACAAAACTTAATATACTAAGCAATAATTTTGTAACTCTGTTCTTCTATATGAAAGTATTTTCTTCAGTCATCAAAGAATTGTTGAGAATACATATTTTTAGAAGAATTATAAACATCAAAAGTATCATAATTTTACTTAGTTGTGGTAAAATACGTTTTCAAAATGTCATTCCAGTTGTTACACTTAATCTAATATATTTCAATAATGGTTATCTGGAAGGTTTTTTTAAAATGCTAAAAAAAAGAAAAGTTCTCCTTTATTATAGTGACCTTAGATTGGCAAGTATGTTAACAAAAAACTAACACAGTACTTAGTAGTAATTGGCGCTCAAGAAAAATATTGTTTTACACTTATTTGCAGAAATATGAGGGTACTTTGAAAAGTTCATGGAAAGATTGGTATTATCTTCCAATTTTATTTTTCCAAGAACTTTTGGAAGTACCCTTGTGTTTTGAATTGAATATCTTATATCCCAAGATGCTGGAGAAATACACCATTACTATACTTGCTTGACGACTTGGTTGAATTTTCAAGATATTTTCTATTAAACCGAGAGGTGGAGGGGGTACTATAGTAAAAGTGGTTATTATGAATGAGAGTGCTCAATGAAACCTAGCTCTCTCACGTTTGCTTTTTCATACAGGGTGACATATGTCATTCTCACTTTGTGAAACTGCTTTTTGAAAAAGAGAAAATAGATATAGTACTACATTTTGCTGCACAAACACATGTAGGTAAGCATTGTTTTATATTAAGTTATAATTGGCAGTTTTTTGGTTTGTTTTTTTTTCACAGTGGCTAACTAGCCTAAACCCAAAGTCTAGTAATAGTGTTGAATAAGCAGGGACTTAATACGTGTCTTTGAAAAAGGATATACCATTCTGTACCAGAAAAACAAAGCCCATGGTCACTAAGTCATCAATATAGTTGGCACTTTTTAATCGCTTTTGTTAGTGTAGATTGAAATATACCCTTGAAGTCTATCTTAAAACTTTGAGTTTAACCCAGTTCAGGATAGTGATTACTTCTGAAGGGGAAGAATGGGGAGATGGCTTTCAACTTTATGTTGTTTTTCTTAAGTTGGGTGGTGGCTACACAGATGAATATTATCTTTCCAGACCATTTTGTGTAGTTGAGATATTTTTTAGTAATTTGCTTAACATTTTTATTGCAGAATATACCATATATTCAAAAGAATTTAGAAGTACAGTTAAATAAATGATAATATAAGCGCCCTTGTAACCATCACCTAAACAAAAACATCACCTAAACAAAATGTTGTCGAATCCTATTTAGTAGTAGTGCTACTACTGCCTATTGCTTTATTCAAAGTTATAATTTCCTTTGCTTTTCTCTATGGTTTTGCTGTGTATATATTTATCCCTAAACAATATAGGTTAGTTTTGGCTGTTTCAAAATTTTACAAAAATGTATATATAAAACTGATGTAGCTGTTCTTGTTTTGCTTTTTCAAAATCCATGTAGATTCATCCATGTAATCAGGTATAAGTATGGTTTGTTTTTCAGTGTTGTATAATATTTCAATCTAAAAGTATACCATGGTTTACTTACATATTTTACTCTTGATGGATATTTGGGTTGTTTATACTTTTGGGTGATTTTGTGCAGTACTACCACGAACATTCTTACACATCGATCATGGTACACGTAAGTACACATTACTCTTGGATATATAACTATGGTCATAAGATCTGCATACTTCAACACTGAGAGTTCAAACTACTTTCCAAAGTGATTATACCAAATTCCACTCCTCCAGAAGTGTGTGGCTTTCTGTTGCTCCACATCTCACCAAAGCTTCGTTTGTCAGACTTTTCCATTTTTGCCAATCTCAGTGCTGTGTAGTGGTCTGTCATTATATTTTTAATTTGTATTTTTCCTGATTATTAATGAGATTGAGTACACTTCATATGTTTTTGGTAATTTGGATCTCTTCTTTTGTGAAATGCTATTGAAAACTTTTGCTCATTTTTTTAATTGGATTGTTTACTTTTTTCTCATTAAAAGAGGAATTTCAATGAGAAAAATGAGAATAGGAGGTTTTTTATGTATTCTGGACACTAGTTCTTAATATTATTTTTATTACGAATGTTTTCTCCCATTCTGTGCCTTATCTTCTCCCTTTTTTTTTTATTTTTATTTTTTTTATTTTTTATTTTTGTCTTTTGTCTTTTTTTCCGTGTCCAGCAACGGATCGCAACCCTCAGTGTTGCCCCCGTACCGGACCGGGGACCGGCAACGGGATCGCAACCCTTGGTGTTGCTCCCGCGCCTCGCTCAGCCAGTGAGCGGGAACCGGTCTGTATGTGGGATCCGAACCCTCGGGCGGGAGCGCCGCCGCGCTTCCCAAGCAGCGCACTATCCAGTGCGCCACCGGGCCGGCCCATCTTCTCCCTTTTTGATAGTGTGTTTTAATGAACAGATGTTCTTAATTTTAATATAGTTGAATTTATGTCTTTTCATTTATGGTTATTGCTTTTTAGGTCTTAAGAAATTCTCCCCTATCCCAAGGTTATGAAGATATATTTTCCTATGTTATCTTCTAGAAACTTCATAATTTCGCCTAATATACTTAGATTTGTAATCCATCTGAAATTGATTTTTATATACAGTGTGAGGTAGGGGACCAATTTCATTTTTTTCTATATGAATATCAATTGTTCCTGCATAATTTATTGAAAAGGTCATCAGTTTCTACTGCTCTGTCAAGTATCCTTATATGTATGGATCTTTCTCTACTCTCATTTGTCTATTTGTCTGTTCTTCTGCTGCTTATACACTATATTGACAAATACAGTGATTTCATATCCATTAGGTTAAGTTGGTTAATCATGTTCTTTAAATCTCCTGTATAATTCCAGTGAATTGAATCTTTTATCCTTATAAAGTGATGTTTCTTCCTTGTTGATATGTACTGCCTGGAAGTCCATTTTGTTTGACATTAATACAGCTGTGTCACCTTACTTTTGGTTGGTATTTTCATGATATATCTTTTTCCATCCTTTTATATCCAACTTTTCTCTAACTTTATTGTTTAGCTGCATATCTTATAAACATGTATTTTAATTTTGTTTTTTAAAAATCTGTTCTGACTACCCTTGATATTTATCCTCAGCATTTAGTTCATTAATATGTTTGGATTTATTTCTACCATTTTGTTGTGTGCTTTCTACTTTTCTCACTTGTTCTGTTTTCTTGCTTGCTTTTTTAAAATTTTTTAAAAATTCTATCTTCTGTTTTTTTAATTTTTTTAAATTCTTGCTTTTTTAAGGACTTGACTGAGGAATTTTCCTTATTCTTTTTTTCTTCCTTTGCTAGTTGGAAGTTATATATTCTATTTGTATTCTGTGGGTATGCTAGAAATTACACAAGTGGATTAGCTTATAAAAGTGTAAAGTCCATCAAAACTTTTACCTTCTTTGCAGCGAATAGACTTTAACTCCATTTATCTATTCCCAACTCTGTTTTTATGTAGAGTTTTAAGTCTATCTTGTTTTATTTTGTTCTTCAATTTCACTGGAAATCATTACTATTTTATATAGTCAATATTCATTTATATTAGGGATTTACAAAATGATATTCTGACTCTGTCATCTATTTTTTTATACCTGGAGTATTTTATAAAAGCAAGTCTTCCTTATAAATTATTGGTTTTTTTTGTTTTTTGTTTTTTCCTTTTTGTCTTTTTTTGTTTCCGGCAACGGATCGCAACCCTCAGTGTCGCGCCCGTACCGGACCGGGACCGGCAACGGGATCGCAACCCTCGGTGTTGCCCCCGCACCTCGCTCAGCCAGTGAGCGGGAACCGGTCTGTATGTGGGATCAGAACCCTCGGCGGGAGCGCCGCTGCACTCCCAAGCGGCGCACTGTAGCACTGCACCACCAGGCCGGCCCCTTATAAATTATTGTTACCTTGAGATTTAATTGCAGAAAAGCTAGGTTAAATGCTTGATTCTTTTTATTTATTCACTAGATCTTATTGTGAGTTCGTTTCCTAGTATCCTCCTTTTTTAAGTGTCATTATGAATTCATAGATTGTAATACATTTTTTTTTGTTTTGATCAATTGCAATTTTTTTTTCTTATTTATGTTCAAATTGTCCCACTATTAGCCACTGAGAGCCTCTTTTAGTTGCTTCCTGAGTCCTTTTTGACATAACCTTAGTAGACTTTGATAGCCGTCATATTCTTTGGTGTGGCAGGATGTTCTGGGCTTATCTTTTCTGTTTATCCCCAGGATCTGGAATCAGCCCTTTCTTAAGAAGCCTTAGTTCCTTTCAGTGGGAAATGTTTTTAGGAGGCCACAGTCTGGACACCAGGAGTGCTCATTGCTACTGATTGGACATTGTTTCTAGGCTTTCTCAGTGGATAGAACTAGGGAATTTTTATTTATTCATCTATTTACCTAAGCTTAAATATACCATGATTAGAATGCTTGTCTTCTCCAAAGCGCATGTGCAATATTCATCCCCAGTGTGGCAATAGGGGCCTTTAGGAGGTGATTGGATTGTGAGGGCCCTGCCTTCATGAATGGGTTAATTCATCAATGGGTTAATGGATTAATGGGTTATCATGGGTGTGGAGTTGTGGCTTTATTAGGAGAGCATGTGAAAATGCTCTTTCCTCTCCTTGCCATGTAATTGTTGCCATGGGACTCTATAGGGACTTTTCATCAAGAAGAAGGTCCTGGGGCCGGCCCGGTGGCACACTGGATAGTGCGCCGCTTGGGAAACGCGGCGGCGCTCCCACCCGAGGGTTCGGATCCCACATACAGACCGGTTCCCGCTCACTGGCTGAGCGAGGCGCGGGAGCAACACCAAGGGTTGCAATCCCGTTGCTGGTCCCCGGCCCGGTACGGGGGCAACACTGAGGGTTGCGATCCGTTGCCGGACACGGAAAAAAGACAAAAGACAAAAAAAAAAAAAAAAAGAAGGTCCTCGCCACATGCACCCCTTGGACCTTGGACTTCCCAGCCTCCAAAACTGTAAGAAATAAATTTTATTTCTTTATGTATTACCCAGTTTCACGTATTCTGTTCTAAGCGACAGAAAACAGACTAATTCAAGTTCATACTGAGATGTCCAATTCAAATTTAGAGTTTATGTTTAACCTTATCAGTCTTAAATTTGTATCTTCTTTCCCTCACTCTGAACACCTTGGTTGACAACAGCATCATCATAATTACTCATTTACTTTATCCTATAACATACACAATAGTATAAGAATAACAATACCAACATTATCTCTAACAATATAATTGAAAATACTTTTAAGAATTGCAGAGGGATTTTTGTCCTTTAACAGCTTCCCATTAGGTATTTGGCCAAATTGTTTTGTTTTAAAGTGACTTGAAATAATTCCTCTAAATGGCTATGTAACCAAGTATGTACATAGTTAGATTCATTTATCTCATTTTACTTTTGGATTTTAGGAATCGCTTCTTTTTCTTTTTGACTTAATTTTGTTTTTTAGTTATGTACATTATGTACATAGTTTCAAAGCCAAATCTACCAAACAAGGCATATTTAAAGAAGTCTAGTTTCCACTGTGTTCTCCTTTCTCCTACAGATAACCTGATATGCTTTAGTTTTACAATTTATGCTGTCTTTTAAAAATATATGTATATCCTACTTTCCTTCTTACAGAAATGATAGCGTACAATGCACACCTTTCTCCATCTTGCTTTTATTTATGTAACAGTTTATCTAAGAGATCATTCTATAACAGAATATGGAGATATTCCTCATTCCTTTTTATTTTTATAGTACTCCATTGTGTAGATATACCAATGTATATCTACATGTATTTCCTACTTTTTGCTGTTTTAAATGGTGCTGCAGTGGATGGCTTCGTGCTTGTGTCTTTTTGTATATGTATTTGTCAATTGATGTTCGGGAGAAATTCCTAGCAGTTGGATTTCTGGGTGTATTAGTATGCTAGATGTGCCATAACAAAATACCACAGAATGGGTTGCTTAAAAAACAGCAATGTATTTCTCACAGTTCTGGAGGCTAGAAGTACAATGCCAAGGTTTTGGCAGGGTTGGTTTCTCCTGAGACCTCTCTGCTGGGCTTCTGGTGGCCACCTTCTTGTTGTGCCTTCATATGGCCTTTTTTCTGCGCAAACGCCTCTTTTGTCTCATTTTGTATCCAAATTTTCTCCTCTTCTAAGGACACTGGTCAGGTTGAATTAGGGCCCATCCTAAAGGCCTCATTTTAACTTAATCACCTCTTTAAGGGCCCTGTCTCTAAATATACAGTAGTCCCTCCATCCTCAGTTTTGCTTTCTGCAGTTTCAGTGACCCATGGTCAACTGCAGTCTGAAAACAGGTGCGTGCAGTACAATAAGATATTTTGGGAGTGAGGGAGATACTGCATTCACACAACTTTTATTATAATATATTATTACAATTTTTCTATTTTATTATTAGTTATTGTTGTTAATCTCTTACTGTGCCTAATTTATAAATTAAACTTTATTATAGATATGTATGTATAGGAAAAAAATAGAGTTCAGTACTATCCGTAGTTTCAGGCATTCACTGGGGGGTCTTGGAACATATCCCCCGTGAATAAGGGGACTGTTGTAGTCACATTCTGAGGTACTTGGGAGGGGTTAGGCTTCAACATGAATTTTGAGGGAATACAGTTCAGCCCATAACTCTTGAGTTTGGGGTTAGAGGGTTAATGCATATATAATTTGGCTAGGTATTGCCAAATTTCTTTCGTTAGGGGTTGTAAATACTGTGCATTCTCATTCCCAGTGTACAAAGTATCTTTTTCACCATAGCTTTGCTAACAGAATGTGTTGTCAAATTTTTGTATTTTTGCCAATCTGATAAGTAAGCAGCAGTTATCTTTGAGTTTTTAATTTGGACTTTTCTAATCAGAAGTGAGGTTGAGCATCATAAGCTTAAGGATCATTTGTATTTCTTTGTCCAAACTATTTGTTTATGTCTTCTACTCATTTTCCTATAGAGTCGTTCTTTTAAATTTATTTTTATAAGTTCATTATAATTGAAGATATTAACCCTTTGTCTCTTATAAGTTTAAATATTTTTCCCAGTTGTCATTTGTCTTCTTACTTTGTTTTTAGTTTTAGGGTTTTTCTTTTAAACATGTAAGAATTTATATCTATATATATCTATATATCTATATATCTATATCTATATCTATATATCTATATATATCTATATATCTATATCTATATCTATATCTATATCTATATATATATGTTATAATTTATTTTTAAATTGTTTGTTTGAATCAGGATCCTAAAAAGATCCCCACATTTTGATTGATATGTCTTCTGAGTCTCTGGGGGGTTTTTGGTTTGTTTGTTTGTTTTTATTCCAACATAGTTGATTGTACATATCTGTGGGGCCATGTAAGAATTTTTATGTAGTCAATTGTATCAGTCTGTTCATTTATTGCTTCTGGATTGTGAGTCATAGTTATAGAGGTTCTATTCTTTTAAAGTGAATTTATTTTTAAATAATTTATCCAGTATTTATTGCTTTCACCAATAACAGATTGATCTCAAAAGCCTTACTCTGTAATAGAAACTGGAAGTTTCAAAAATTTTTTTAAATTTAAGAATATTTTAAATTTAGATGTATCAGTTCTTAATTTTTTATAATAAAAAAAGTGTTTCCTGCAAATTTAGTGCTGATAGTTTTCTAGGTTCTAAGAATTTACCGTATTATGTAATTTAGGTTTTAAAGAAATCATAAATAGCAATATGTGTATATGTTATTTCTAGAACTATTGCAATTCTGGTGAATGAAGAGATGTGAATAGTAGTCTCTTTAGATCTGAGTCCACTGTTTGGTATTTGTTTTGTCCCTTAGGTGGAATTGTTTAGTTTTTCTCTCTCTTTTTTTAGATCTTTCATTTGTACGTGCCTTTGAGTTTACATATGTCAATGTTTATGGTACTCACGTTTTGGTTAATGCTGCTCATGAAGCCAAAGTAGAGAAATTTATTTACGTCAGCACAGATGAAGTATATGGAGGCAGTCTGGATAAGGTGAGCTTAGAAAGTGTGTATTTCACCTACTTACTATGTACCAAGATACAAATCTGTCTCATTAAGACCTACACTGTTTTTTTTTCTCTTTTTTCATCTTCTAATTATATATACTGTGGGACTCTCCAAAATGTTATTCCATTGTCTCTTCTCTTCAAATCAAATGATGCCACTCCAAATGGGGAACAACAGCCTAGTCTTGGAATAGATTTATATGTAATTTGACTGGGTGTTTTGCAAGAGAGCAGCAGATCTCACTTTTTTGTCCCAGTCTTGTGTGCATGATGAATGTCATTCCCGTGGGCCCCAGAGCACAAGTAAGTCAGCCTGCTCGCTTTTCTCTCCAATCAGGAAGACACTGGAGGGCCGAGCCCGTGGCGCACTCAGGAGAGTGGGGTGCTGGGAGCGCAGTAGCGCTCCCGCCGTGGGTTCGGATCCTATATAGGGTTGAGTGCGGTGTGGCCGGTCTCAAAAAGAACAAAAAAAAAAAGAAAAGGAAGACACTGGAATGTCAAGGAGTAAGTGTGTGTAGAAACTGGAGTCTATTCTTTTTTTAATTATTCCTAAATATTTATTATACTTTTTATGCAAGAAGATGGCTCCATTTTCTAGTCTATATTTTTCATAGTCAGTGTTTGCAGTGACCTAATTTTGTCTTATTTTTTAATAATTTTTTTATTTTACCAAAATACACAGTGAAAAAATCAAATCATCCAAAAAGACTTATAATGAAAAAAGCAGACTCTGACCCTTTCTTCTCAATCCTCAGTCCTGCTTCTGAGAAGCAACTATTTTCAACTCTCTTTGCAATTTTTTTTCAGGTAAACTTCTTCCCGCACCCATGCTTCATCAGATCTGACATAGTAGCAAGAATGATTTTTAAAATATAAGTCAAATCATGGAATTACTGTGCTCAAAATCTGTCAGTGTTTTTTACAGTGGCCTTCAAGGTTTATGTTATGGCCTCCCTTTAGCTCTCTCACCTGACCTCCCATATTTCTTCCCTTCTACCAGTCTTTTTGCAGTTCCTTTGGACACACTTCTGTCTCAGGGCCTTTGCGTTTGCTGTTCTCTCTGCCTGCCTTCCAGGATTTTTGTGGGCATTAAAGAAGTTACTGCATGTTCTTGAAAAAATGCCAGGCATATTGGGTTCAATAAATGGTTTTTAAAATGTAGTGATTGACCTTTCAAGTAATATGTTTTTTTTTTTCCTACTTAAAAAGCATTTATAATACTTATTTTGTAAATATATATTTTTAAAATTAGGAATTTGATGAATCTTCACCCAAACAACCTACAAATCCTTATGCATCATCTAAAGCAGCTGCTGAATGTTTTGTTCAGTCTTATTGGGAACGATATAAGGTAAGAACTGATTTCAGAAACTCTTGAACCATTTTCCTTTGGACTTAGGTGTTAAAACTCCAAGTTAGCTTTAGCAATATTTCATTTTTAGATTAAAAGTCGTAGATTAAGAAAAGTTATATAGTAAGGAATTTTTTTTTTTTTTTTTTAAAGATGACCGGTAAGGGGATCTTAACCCTTGACTTGGTGTTGTCAGCACCACGCTCTCCCATGTGAGCTAACTGGCCATCCCTATATAGGGATCCGAACCCTTGGCCTTGGTGTTATCAGTACCACACTCTCCCAACTGAGCCACAGGCCGGCCCTATATTAAGGAATTTTAAAAGCTGATTTCCTGTATTGTGTGGACAAAGTAGGACCTACCTTTCCTTGCCAGTACATCATTAAAGGAATAATTTGAATATATATTTTTTCCTATTTCAGTAGTAGTAGAGTTTACAGCTATAGTGGAAAGCCCTTTGGGATCCTATGAGTGGAGGAAGGCAGAGGGAGGACATTCCCCTTCCTGCCATGTGCTTCTCTCTGCATGATTCAGCTCTCTTGGCTCCTCCTGAATGGGAAGTAGACTTGTCCCGGTGGCTGTGACAGTGTCAGTGTGGGAGCCTTACCCAATATGAGTCATCAACTTGAACCTCCTACATTTGGCTTCCCACTGGTCTTTGTTACTTACTAGGGACTAGGTCAGAAAGGCATGTCAAGGAATTCTTTAAGATTCTCTCACCTTTTGTGTTCCAGGGGCATTGGTCCTTTTCCATTCCATGGTAGCCCTTTTATTTGTGAGGGTTGGTACAATGGAGAGAGCCAACTTGAAGTTTAACAAACTGAGTCCTAGAGGTGTTCTCTTAAGTAATCAAGTGGAAAGGTCCTCAGTGTTCTGCCATCAGACTTACAAACCTGCCTCCATCTGTACGCATCCTTCCCTTGTCCCAGTAAAGAGAATGCTCCTCTCCTTCCTTTTGGAACCTCTGCCTTTGCCTGAATCTCATCGTTTCCTATCTTTTTAAGAACCTTACGTTAGAAAAAAATCTCTTCACTCTGTCCTTAAAATGTGTGGAATTATTTAGGCAAAGGTGCCCATATTTTAAAACTCTGCTTATTTTTAAAATAATCATTATTGGACCTTTCTTTCATTACCTTAATGTTGAATACTCTTTAAGTTTCCAGTTGTCATCACAAGAAGCAGTAATGTTTATGGACCTCATCAATATCCAGAAAAGGTAAATTTTACTTCTGAATTCATAGTGTTTTTTAGCAATTGTAACTTCTCACTTAAAATAATTTCTCCAGTTACTTGTCTAAAATAAGTTTTCGGGTTGTCCACTTGGTTAGAGCATAGTGATGATAACACCGAGGTCAAGGGTTTGAATCCCAAGTTTTGTTGTAATTATACATAATTACATAGACTGTTATGTGTCACATACAAATCTCATCAGACTTAGAGTTTAAAGACTCGAGTTGTCTCGACTTGACACTCATCCGTTGGTATGACCTTATGCGCTTTGAGCATAGTCTTTAAATTGGGGGATGATGATTATATTTGGGAAGGATTTTGAAGGCTCCAGTGACATGATATACTCATATGTGAAAAGCCTTGTACTTTCTAGGACTCTAAAGCACAGTGCAGTACTTCCATCACTACTGACACGCCGTGGTTAAGACTCCCAGCTTGTAGTCAGACCACTAGGGCAGAATATACAGAAAGTTAAAAGCTAGTTGGACAGTGATGCAGGAAGCTTGTATGTAAATTTATCTTATTGTCAGCTGGCTAACTCTGCCCTAAGTCATTCTTATTGTTGTAGGCCTGAATGTCTTCCAGAAAGTAATACAAATAGCAAATAAAGAAATGTAGTTAAAAGGCTGAAAATGCCTGTGCAGTTGGTTCTGTTATCATTAAGCCTAATTTTAGGTAACTGTTGGTCTCTCCTACAGAAATTTGGAGACTGGGTTTTCTCACTTCCCAGCTGATTGCATTGATCTATTTGACAAAGGAAGGGGCCCCGTCATGATCTACCCAGATTAATATCAACTTAGCTTAATTTTTGGAGTATCTTTAACAGGTTTATTATGAATTTAGTAATTTCTTATCTTGCCCTGTTTAATGTAAGTTTTCTTTAAATCCAGGGCACTGAAATTTACTTTTATAATTCCACAAGCACTTATTGAGTAGGTGCTACGTGTAAAGAAATAAGATATGATTCCTGTCCTTATGAAATCAGCACAAAGGTGAGCTTTGTGAGAGAGCAAACTGTTCATGAAGACTTTCTCTGAATTTTTCCAGTACTTATATCATTTTTTTTTTCAGGTAGTAGGTTTTTATGAAATAGCAAACTATCTTAGAGTTCTTTTACTTATTAAATATTATACTAGGTTTTTTATGATCTCTTGGCAAACAGAATTAGAGGTTATTCATATGTATATTTCTTCATCATAATCTTTTAATTTTATCGTGAGTTCAGATTCATATTAATGAGTAAATTTCCCAAGTTTGAAATGATATTTAAATATTCTTTTAGGTTATTCCAAAATTTATATCTTTACTACAACACAACAGGAAATGGTATGTTATTATTTACTTTTGTATCCATATGCTTTTCTGGTCTGTTACAGTATTTGGTGGTAGTCTTTCTTGAAAATCATAAAATCTTAAGAGTTGGAAGCCATAGAATTGAATGTCCCACCAAATTTAAGAATCCCTTCTCCAGTGTAATAGTTTTTAAAATAATTATAATCTGTAATTCATTTTTATAATTAACTTAGATCATTTTAATTCTTAAATGATCTATCATAGAACTTTGAGTTATAGCATTAAAATTTGGCATCTATTTTTACATAAATTGTACTTTCTCAAAGGATTTATTTAATTAAAGAAACTGTAGATATTTCTTCAAAATTAATTTATGGTATAAAATTGATGAATAAATACTTCTTAGGGGTCACTTATGTGTTTGCCACTTTCCTCCTGAGTACTCTCAGGAGGTTTGGAGAATATTTGTTAACTACAGATTGGGCTGGCCAGTTAGCTCAGTTGGTTAGAGTGTGGTGCTAATAACACCAAGGTCCAGGGTTCAGATCCCTGTACCAGCCAGCTGCCAAAAAAACCCCTAAATTTAGAAAAGTTTTCAGAATTTGTGTTTTCAATAAAAGATTTCTAGGATCCTAGAAATCCTAGATTTAGGGGTAATCAGCTCCTCTGGAGTTGTACCCACTTATTGTACCGGGGTTTAAGAGAGTTTACTTTTTCACTCTTTATGATTTTGCTTCATTTAATCTGTTTAGCTGTATTCATGGATCAGGGCTTCAAACAAGAAATTTCCTTTATGCTACTGATGTAGTAGAAGCATTTCTTACTGTCCTCAAAAAGGGGAAACCTGGTGAAATTTATAACATTGGAACCAATTTTGAAATGTCAGTTGTCCAGCTTGCCAAAGAACTAATACAACTGGTATGTATCTGTTATAAAAGGGTGGTGTTTTCAAAATTGTCTTTAAATTAGTGTTGTAATCACTAATTTAGTCAAAATCAATAGTTTACAGTTTACTTAATTTAAAAGTGAACAAGTAGAAAATGAAACTTATGACTATATATATACCATATATATCTTCATCTGAAGCTGTATCACTCATTTAGTAACAGCTTTTCAGGAAAAAATAATTCATTACATCTACATATCCTAATTGTAAGACATACCTAAATTTCTGAAATATAAAACTGTGTGTCTCAGTATCAAATAACAATGATATATAAAATAATTATAGTTATGAGTGTACATATGTATTGGGGAACACCAATTATAAATCTTAGGACTTACAGAGACTAATGACCCAAATTCAAGAAAATTCATTTTCTCCCATAGTTTATACGATGTATATTTCTGAGCTTTAAATGGAATTTAGGTTTTAATATATAGAAAATGTTACTAAAATGATGTTCATTTTAGCTGTCTCCCCCTTTGAGGTAATTTTTCTTGTCTTTTTAATCAGCTATTAAATACCACTGTTACTCCCTGATCTCATTTAATAATTTGACTTATAAAGCCTTCTTCATTTTGACAGATCAAAGAGACCAATTCAGAGTCTGAAATGGAAAATTGGGTTGATTATGTTAATGATAGGTGAGTAACAAGTTAAAACATTGGGGAAAGGTTGTGAAATCTTGGGTACTTATAAGATTATAAAATATATTGACTTAACTGAAAACTAGTTTATCTCTTTTGAATTTTCTGGTAAAATTTTTTTTTCTAATTATAAATGTCATATAAATTAAGTGTAGCATTATAACTTACTAGCTATGTGACTTAAAGTTATTGACCCTTCCCAAGTCTGAGGTTTCCTCCAGTGTGAAATAGAGATAATGGTACCTTGCTTGTAAAAAGTATTTTAAGGTTTAATTAGAATGCATATAAAGTTCCTGACCCAGAGCCAGGCACATAAGAGTCCTAATAAATTTATATGTATTCATTCATTCATTGAACATTTATGGAGTTCCTTCTGTGTGCTAGGCACTGCACTCATATCTAGACTGTGGCTGAAATAAGGTAAGGATAAGCCGCAGTGAAGGTTAGGCATCTGGGATTATGGATGATTTGTTTTTTTAATATATACTTTATTTTATACATTTTCTACAATAAGCGTGTCTTAGGGGCATTTTTTTAAGAAAAGCTTTAATTATGGTAAAGATGCATGGACACACATTATATCTCTTAGTATTTAAATTTATAAATATATATCCACAATGTCATTTTAAACGTTTTGTTTTCCAAGACCTACCAATGACATGAGATATCCAATGAAGTCAGAAAAAATGCATGGCTTAGGATGGAGACCTAAAGTGCCTTGGAAAGAAGGAATAAAGAAAACAAGTATGTTAAGAATTGATTATTTGGGGGGATAATTCAGAAAAATTTAACAGAAAAGTAATTTATTTTTAGAACACTGTACAAATTCAGAATATTGTGAAGAATCATTTGAAACATTTACTACTCATATATTTCTAGCACTACTTCTGTGTTTCCTAAACATCTTGAACTGCATAGCTAACTTCTGATCAGTCTTTCTATATCTTATTAGCATTAATCAAATACCTATTTAATTGATTCTGAAGTACACATATTTTGCTTTCTTTACACCCAGAAAGGTATGTTTTTATAATCACTGGTATCTTATAATCATTATTGAAGCTTTTTTTTTTCTTAATTGTCCATCTTAAGATCAGTGATCTTAGATTTGATGAAATATAGGCAGCTGCAGTCTTTGAGTTTCTTGAGTCTTTTTATATTGAAACAAACAAATAGGAATAAATTCAGTTTGTGCAGAAAAATCTATTAAAATAAGTGTGTATAAGGTCTTTTTACATATATTAAAGTTCTATTTAGAAATGTATTCATGAGAAAAGATCTACCCAAATTTAGAAAAAAAGTCTTGATTCAGAGCTTGAAATACAAAATACTTGTGTTAAATATTAAAAAGCAAGATCAAAGATAATTTAATGTTACACTTCTCACTGTGTAACGGAGACAAAAAAAGGATTACTCAAAGCACCATGAATGCGTTGAGAAGCCCGTAGGGTCTGCACCTCAGCAACTCCTCTGTTAGAAGGAAAAACTGGGTGCAGCAGCCATTCAAAGTTAGCTTCTGTTTTTTATTGTAAAGACAAGGAAGTTTCACATGAAAATTCAGTTTATTCAATCATTACAAAAGGACACGAGGGCATGGGCAGTGTTACAAAAGTTACCTATGGCTAAGTATAGCTTAAGCAATGGAAACTAGTAACATCAGTAAAATTAACAAAGTGACATTCCAAAGTACAGTTTATGAAAAGCTAAGTTGATCAAACTGTCTCATTATCTAAAGTATAACCTCTCCTTAAGCAAAAGTTACATTCTTATGATAAAATCTAAGTACAGTTATTTCTAAAGTTTCCCCCAACATACAGCTTGTCCCTAGCAAACATTTTTTTCACATCTTTCGCTTCAGCAATTCTTAAAATCTCTTAACAAGATCAGTATGACAACCACCTTTTAGTTCTAAAATCATTAAAGTATATAATCCCATACCTAAGCAGTGATTAGAGTTGATTAGATGGGCTATAGCCCGGCTATCTGTGGGCTGTGGCCCCCTACTCAAGGGCTTTTGCCCCATATGTGTATTTACCTAAAAACCCTATTCAAAAAATCAAATGAGAATCAACATTATTTAATTAGAATTTATTAAATGAGCTTTTGCCCTCTATCTGTAGACTGTGGTCTCCTACCCGAGGGCTTTTGCTCCATACATGCATTTACCTAAAAACCCTACTCTAAAATCAAATGAGAATCAAGATTTCTAACCCTCCACAATTTAAAACTATCAGGTTTCTTTCTTTACTTTCTTGCTTGTACTGAGGGCTGGCCCATGGTTCACTTGGAAGAGTGTGGTGCTGATAACACCAAGGCCACGAGTTTGGATCCCTATATCGGGATGACCAGTTAGATCACTTGGGAGAGCGTGGTGCTGACAACACCAAGTCAGGGGTTAAGATCCCTTTACTGGTCATCTTTAAAAAAAAAAAAAAAAAGCTTTTAATGGTAGTATAGCACCATGAAATAATTTCACATATTAAAAAAAGGAAGTTCACATCGTCTCATTGTACTTCTGATTCAGTATTACCATATTTACATGGACAGATACTGTATTACACATTTTTTTTTTAAATAAAATAAGTTTAAAACCAGTGCAAATGGCTTATCCCCCCACCTTGAATTCCTTAAAATCAGAATATCATAAACACATACCAGCAAGTTCAGTATTGGAGGACTATTAAAATTAAAAAGAAAAAAATGGTTGATATTTAATTCTAAGTTTTTTACGTGATGAAATGTCTTCTGATTAACTTCATTGTTAAGTTCAAAAACAAATTGTTTATGTCATTAGGTAGCCCTTGTCTGCTGATTAGCTGATGGGCAAGACTTTTCTTACCTAGCAGCAACTCAGTAAATGGTTAACTGATGTTTAGTTTTTCATTTTTGTCTTTTGTTTTTTCTTATCAGTTGAGTGGTACAGAGAGAATTTTCACAACTGGAAGAATGCAGAAAAGGCATTAGAACCCTTTCCAGTACAACCATTTATATAGTCAGGACAGTTTTCAGAGAAAGAAGAACATTATCCTACCTCAACAAGTGAAATGAAATCAAGTGACCAAATGAAGTGTGCTCTTTTCATTTGGAATGAGATTCATGACTTTTGTATGAAATTCAAATGCAAAATGCCACAGTCATTGGAAGAGTTTCAGTATTGGCACAGGATTTAAATATCAAAATTCTTTCAGAAATCCTTTTTCCTGGAAATAGGGAAACAGTATGAACAGAAAGAGTCACCTTAAGGGTGGACCAGGAAGGGGGAGTCTCCGGGTCCTGAGAACAAAGACAGGTCTAGGCACTGGGCAGATGGCAAGCTTTGTGGCTTTGAATGCAGTCAGCTTCCCAACCTTTCCCAGTGCCTAGCAAGTCTGTGAAGTTTTTATTTTTAGGCAATATAGAATGAGTCTTATGCCCTAATTCATCTTTTTTAAGATCTGATGTGTTATAATTGCTTTAAGTATGGAACAACATGGAAGCATATCTGGCACTTTTTATCCTTTGATAATTTTGTAAAATTGATTAAGTTAAGGGCTTTTTAAGAGAAGGAAGTAAAGTTTTTATATTTTCAAAATCAGAAATCAGTTGTTAACCTATGTATAACCTTGTATCAGAGAAATTTTATCATGTATTTACTGTTTAAAATGATTTTATTTATAAAATTGTCAATATTTTAATGTAAAATGTGGCTTTTTTTAGTAATGTATGTTTTCTATTTTGCTGTGGAAAAATTAAAAAAATACTTGATTATGTATTTTTAATCCCTCTTTGCCCTAAAGACTTTAAGGTGACTTAAGAAGTAACTGATTGGATATTGTATTGAGAAAAGGAATGGGAGCTAGGTGACCCTCTATTAAAAATGCAGATTTTAGTATGGAGGCTGCTTAACTTTCCACTAAAATGTCTTAATACACTTTTAAATACACTTGATACCAGCCTCCCATGCCTAGAGGTCCCCAAGCCTATATCTCTTCTCTTTAATTTCTGCAATTTCTCCTATCTGGAAGGAAAGAGAGGGAGGGCAGGTCTGTCAGTTGAGTACTACAAGAAGCCAATGCTGAGACAAAGTAATGCCTGTAAAGGTGAAAGAGGAAGGCAGCAAAATTGGGCAAGATAATGGTGCTGTTTAAGGCTCTGCAGGCAGAAGGGCAAACCCATACGGAAAAATATATATTGTGAGGATCAACTACTGGTCAGTGGAATCAAATGGCCACCAGGTGACTGGCTGGTTTCCTCAAGGAATAGTGCTGTGCTGGGGGCTCAGCATTTGCCTCCATTGGCAGCAGGTTGGATGCTCACAGGTGGCAATAGCTAGGTTGGCCATGGTAAGTAAGAATCTAAGCTGTGGGCCCCAAGTAGGTTCCATCTCTACAGTATGCCTGTTCCATTCAGGGGCCCTTTGTGGTAGTTTGGGATGGCTGATGATGAAGGCTGGTTAAAGTTAGCTGACTAGGTCATTTTGTCTACTGGACGGTTCAGTGCCTCTTCCATAGTGGACACTTTCTGCTGGGTGTTACCATGTGATGTGTAGATCTTCATACTCCCCACCCTCCCATATGCCCATCCACATGCCCCCAACCCTGACTTTCTTGTTTCTGTTTCTCTAGCCTTTTTCCTTTCAATCCCCCAAGTAGCTATCCAGGTCATTTGCCACTGCCCATAACTTAATTTATATTCTCACCACAGGTCACTTCTTTTGTACATAGTATGTGACCAGGTATACTGCTCAAAGCTCTATCCTTTGAAAGACTTTCCTTTCCACATTCTTTTTAAGGCCTGCCCTACATGGCTTTAGTGCAGCTAGCATCCATTGTTGGCTTACACCCTCATAACAAGCCAACCTAACTATAAACTAAGATGGGCTTTTTCCTCCCCTTTCAGTTGATTGTATGGCCATAGTTGTGAGCTGAGAGAGGGGCACTGGTATCATTAAGTCGGTGATTTGGGAGTCTGACATACCTGCTCCTGCAGCTTACTTGTGCCCTCTGGTTCTGCTCAGACTCAATCCCAGATGTACCGTTTCCATCTTCCAGTAGTCAGCTTCTGGGCCCACCTGACTTTATGTGTGGGTAGGCACATTAGTGTGCTAGGCTGCCATAACAAAATACCACAGACTGGGTGGCTTCAGCAACAGATATTTTTCCCGTAGCTCTGGAGACTGGAAGTCCAAGGTCAAGATAAGGGTGTCAGCAGTGTTGGTTTCTCCTAAAGCCTCTTTCCTTGGCCTGCAGATGACCATCTTCTCTGTATGTCCTCACACGGTCTTCCCTCTGTTGTGCGTACACATATCTGTGTCTAAATTTCCTCTTCTTTTTTAACTGGCTGGTACAGGGATCTGAACTCTTGACCTTGGTTAAGCAGCCAGCCCTAAATTTATTTCTACTGCTTATGAAGACACCAGTCATTATCAGATTAGTGCCCACCCTAAAGACCTGATTTTAACCTGTCTCTCTAAAAACCTTATTTCCAAATATGACCACATTCTGAGGTATTAAGGGTTAGACTTTAACATAAGAATTTGCAGGGGACACAGTTCAGCCCTTAACAGTAGGTCCAAGGAACTCAGCCTAAATGAGCAGGTCTGGAAGCATGGTTACTTGGTGTCCCATGGTCAAGCATTCCACCTCTACCAGGACCCAGTCACTGGCCAGGAGCTCTCTTCCAAAGGCATATAATTCTCCACTGCAATTGGAATGGTCTTCCCCAGAGCCCCTGGGATCTGCATGGTGATTCTCCCATGGGGGCTCACCATAAAATCCACACTGCATCTTTCTACCACTGACAAGAGCACCCTTGAGTCCACCAGATCATATGGCCCAAGTGGCAAGGATGCTTGCACCCCAGCTTGAACCTGCTCCAGAGCTCTTTCCTGTTCTTTTCCTGTAAGCTACAGCAATTTGACTTTTACTTTGGAGGGCATGTCCCGGCACACCTTGACCACTGGACTCCTAAAAACTTTGCTCAAATGGCAAATCTCTGAATCTTCATTGGGTTTCTCTTCCACCTTCCGGGGTATTCACCAAATAACCAAATAACCAAAGATTATTTGATTATTTGATTCTGATTCACTGAATAATAAAAGGCACCAGTGTGGTAATCACCTCTTGCTAATCCTGCTTGATCAGCTTGATGCCATTAATGTGATGGATCAGTATGACATTCTTCAGAATCCAAGTCTCTTAGGAGAGCAGAACGAGTTCACATAGCCCTGAGGCGAAACTGTATATGTACCTGGTTTCTGATCTTTCATGATTGAGATGGAAAAGAACACATTTACCAAATCAGTAGCCGGATACCATGTTCCAGGGGCCTTCTAATCTGCTCTAGCAAAGAAGATGCCACACGGGCACAGCAGCTGCTGTGGGAGCCACTACTCGATTGAGCTGGTGGTTGTCTACAGTCATTCTCCTGGACCCACCCAGTTTCAGCAGGAGCCAGATGCTGAATGAAATGGAGATTTGGTGGGGCCCTGCCTCTGCATTCTTGAGATCCTTGAGGGTAACATTATCTTCATCATCTTCAAGATATGATTGTATTTTTGATTTACTGTCTCTGCCAGAGGAGGGGCTGAGCCAAGGCAGCCCCTGTTAAGCCAAGGTTAGGGCGCCAGTTGGGAAAATCTAGGACCCTGACACACAAATGGGAATATCTGGGTGGATGCTGCTATGGGTTGAATGTGTCCCCCAAAAGTTTATGTGTTAGAAACTTGATCCCCATTGTAAGTGTGTTAAGAGGGTGGGAAATCCAATTATGGTATTTGAAAGGTGGGACCTTGAAGAGGTGATTGGATCGTGCAGACTGTGCTCTTGTGAATGGAGTAATAAGTTAATGGTTTTGTGAGTTGTCATGGGCGTGGACTGGTGGCTTTATAAGGAGAGCACATGAAAGTGCTTTTGCCATTCTCTCATTTGATACCCTGGTCACCACAGGACTCTGTAGAGACTCCTCATCAAGAAGAAGGCCCTCACTAGATACACACCCTGGCCTTTGGACTTCCCAGCCTCCAAAAACTATAACAAATAAATGTAATTTCTTTGTAAATTACCCAGTTCAAGTATTCTGTTAAAAGCAATAGAAAATGGACTAATACAGATGCCTTTAAAGAATTTGTCTCTGAAGCTTTTATAAACTATCAAGTCTTGAGTTTGGTCTTAGGCTTTTTCTTTTTCCTACCTCAAGTGATAAGGCCTTCACACTTGGTTGTCACTTGTTTGTTAATTATCCTCAGCTTTTCCTTATTCCTCTGTAGGGCATTAATACAACTTAATAAAGACCAATCAATTCCATTGCCCTTGTATGACTTGTTCCTTGAACTTTTCAAATGCCTGAATTATTGCACCAGCCTGGGGCAGGGTGGGTCCCTCCACCGAAACATTTTTCCAAGTCACCACCCATGAAAGTTATAGCAATTGGGTCTTCACATTGACCAGGGACTATTTGTGACCCTTGCCCCACCCAGGATGGTATTCTTATGGCCAGGCAGGCAGAAGATGGTTCAGTCCCAAACTCATCCTACCAAGTGCTTTGTTGGACCACTCTTGGAACTGACTGTGTCCGTTGGATCCTCTGGAAAGTAGTGGCTGAGGCAGTTAGGAGTGCATGCAGTTTATTCAGGGGGAGGAGGATGCTGCTTGTGAAAGATACAGAAAGGGGGATGCATAATTGGGCAGGAGAAATGTTCAGGTTGCAGTGCAAATCAGACAGCTGTGAAAAGAAAGAATAGAGAACGAAGGGTTGGTAGGGAGAGCCTCAGACAGCAATGCAGATCTGACAGAATCTCAGTCAACTCAACAGCTCCAGCACACAGGTGGCCTGTTAGAGAAGTCCCACACTGGGCAGAAGTGGCCAGCTTCCCTGTTGTGCCCAGTCATTGGCTGGGGGCTACTTAGAAACAGCCAAGGTGGATCCTGAAGGCATTGCAAGCAGAGGCCGCCAGCTAACTGCACTCTTGGTAGCTGAATGGCAAGCGCTTTCTTGAAGGAAAATCCAGATGGTAGGCCTTCATAATTGCCAGCTGGCTGTTTGCAGCGGAGGAGAGGGACTTGGGATTCAATTGCTCCCTGTACAGACTTGACAAACCCACACCCTTTTAGTCCAATGCCTTACCCTCCCCCACCACCCCTACCTCCACCTGCCATAGCCCCTGGTGCTACGGGTCCTAAGCCTCTCAGGGGTTCTGTGTCAACTCACCCAATCTGGAGGTTCTGAGAAGGATTTCTGGAGATGACATTTGAGCTGTTTTAAAGGATGAACAGGAGTTAGTAGAGGAAGCCAGGATGATTCCAGGCAGAGGGATCAGCAGAGTGAAAGCACCAGGTTGTAAATAATATGGTGTGTTTAGGCAACAACAGGTCATTGCTATTACTCTAGCACAGTCATTCTCAAAATGTGACCCCAGTTCATTAAGAAAATCAAAACTATAATGAAATATCACTGCACACCCATAAGGGTGGCTATTATTTAAAAAACAAAATGGAAAATAAGTGTTGGTGAGGTGGCGGAGGAATTGGAACTTGATGCATTGCTGGTGGGCATGTGATGTGGTGCAGCCACTGTAGAAAACAGTATGGTGGTTTCTCAAAAAGTTGAACACAGAATTACCATAAAATCCAGGAATTTCACTTCCAGGTATATATACACAAAAGATACCCAAACACTAATCCTCGTAGCAGCACTATCCTCAACAGCCAGAGAGGAGAACACCACAAATTTCCATCAACAGATGAATGGATAATCAAAGTGTCGCATGTA